ACAAACAAAGGGTGATAGACTTGGAATTTGTTTATCGCGTATTACACGTAAGCTACGTGCTATCTATAAAGAAAATATTTATTAAATATTACTCAACTTGACCTTGTAAAAGAAGATACCTACAAACTAATAACCTTTTCTTGTGGCAATAATTTATTATAAGTCTTTGATAAACTAAATTATAAAGATTTATTTTGATTTATTTGCAGTCATCTTATATTATTAAAACTAGTAATGTTTGAAAACTTTAATATTTTACCCATGTTATGGAACTATGTAAATTAAAAATCGGTAGTAAATTGATAAAAGTTATGGTACGGACGGACACGGTAGCTCAATTAGTTAGAGCAAGTCCTGTCCGTGTCGTATTTTTTTCAATTTATAATCGATTTTTAATTTACTAGTAATATTATTTATTTCTACACGTATAAGCTACCCAACATTAAAGTTGATTTATTGACAACGTGAGTCGCATTTGAATCAATTCCATCCTTTCAGATGCTTTTATCTGATAAACATCACAAGCAAAGCCATAAATTCGATTGTTAATCGAACTAGAAGAATGATACTTGCAGCGTTTTAGTGAGATCTTGATTACTGGTCACTAATTCCACATTTTGCAAGCCGTGAGTCACACAAAGAAATATTTCCCCTTTGAATCATACAAGCTAAAGCCTTCATGCTCAAATAAAGTACGAGTCTTGTTTATTCAAATGGTTTATTCAAGTAAATTAATTCTCTGTTTACATACACCATATATATTCTTGCTAGTTTTTTTAAATCTGGAAATTTACTAGGCATATATATTCTTTGACCACATATCATTGCCTAGCTAGTCTAGAAATTGGTAGGTAAATAAACACTTGACTTATATAATGTTAGAAAAAGTTCCAATCGCCGATTCCGTGTCACATAGGACAGAAGACAAGCACTGATACATTCATAGAGATTTGAAGTCAAGTTTATTATATTTTAAGCAATAAAACCTTTTTTCCGTGTAATCTAATTATAATGAATACAAATGATAGCACTATATGTAGCCAGGTTATATAAATAAAAGTAACTCTCTATGGCATCTAATTTGATTATAACTTTTATTAATGATATTGATTTTATATCTGTGGCAAAACTAGTGTTCCTCGAATAAGCCATTGCTTTTTAGTATGTGGGTAAATCCGTTCGGTCTAGTTAAGTCTTTATAATTATTAACTTTAATGTAGCACAAATTAAGTCCCCTTGTACTTTCAAAATTACTGCAGGCTTAACGTTAATATACTCTGTTAAACTTTCTCTTATAAATTTATAACTGCTTCAAAAGCTTCTTTGTTTTTTAAAAAAAATAAATTAGGGGAGGGGGGGGGGGGAAAAAACCCTTGGGGGGGTTTTTTTTTTTAGGGGGGAAGGTACTTACAGGATCAATTAAGTTAGATTTAATAAATTAAAGTATGTCTTTGGATCGCTCTTATTATGATTTAAAAGAATTTACAATAAGCAGAATACCATGTCGATGTCAAAATAACAATTTTCGTTCTAATGTATTTTTAAAAAAAAAAAAAAAAAAAAAAAAAAAAAAACGCGGGGGGGGGGAAAAAGGGGGGGGGGGGGAAAACCCCCGGGGGGGGAAAAAAAAAAAAAATTTTTTGAATAAAAAAAAAAAAAAAAAAAAAAAAAAAAAAAAAAAAAGGAAAAAAAAACAAAAAAAATTGGGGAAAAGAGGAAAAGGATTCACCCCTTAATATACAGTACGGCATAGGGATATTTATTGTTGTATTGGTTAGATTTATTATATCAATCCGTTACAAGAAGTCCTAAAGCGTATTAAGTAATTGAAAATAATGTTGAAGTGCCTTTGCAGATTTTCATCTAGCAGAGAAGGAACAAATAAGCAAAAAGGGGGGGGGGGGAAAACCTTTTTTTTTTTTTTTTTTTTTTTTTTTTTTTTTTTTTTTCCCCCCCTACCCAAAAACCCCAAAAGGTTTTGGGGTTTTTGAAAAATTTTTTTCCCCCCTTTTTTTTTTCCCCCCGCGGGGAAAGCAACCAAAAGCCCTCCAAAATGGACGCGATCAAAAAGAAGATGCAGGCGATGAAGCTGGAGAAGGACAACGCACTTGACCGCGCGGCCATGTGCGAACAGCAGGCCAAGGACGCCAACCTTCGCGCTGAAAAGGTACTGTCCCCTTATAATGTCCTGGTACCTATTGCAAAAGATTCTGAACTATGCTAGACAAATGGAGCCTAGACCAGAATTTTTTATTGTGCAGATAGTTACCATTAGTAAAAACGAAAGCCTCCTTTATCTTCGTATGCTTCAGTGTAATAATTATCGGGGGTCCAAACTCCGCTTATAAAAAAAATAAATATACATAAATCAATCGGAGTTAATGCGATACAAACTTAACCACTTAAACAAATTTAATCTAAACATGTAAATAAAATTAATTATTATTATTTAAAATAACAAACCAGTAATCAATCACACTTCATGTCTTCGCCGTCATAATATTGTCTAGTAATTACATTTCATGATTAAAATATAAATACGTACAATAAAATAAAAAGAATTATTATCAAATACATATACCTAGAATACATCTGACATTTTAGTTTGAAATCTAAACATTATAATCTGTATCTTCTCCACATGAACCGCATTTGGATCTAAGCGTATACGGATTAAATTCCCTTTCTGAAAGGACCAATAAATTGCGATAGGGTCTTGACCGCACTGCAATGTGCAAGTAGCAGGCCAAGGACGGCATTGCGCTCTGATCAGATTCAATGCACCAATAATCGACTTCTTTGTAAATCATGCGTTCCTGGTACTTCGCCCTTTAAATATTGCAATAACTTTGGTTTACTACTGGTCTTTAAAAATATACACAAAGTGATAATTTAAATAAAATACCTTTAACGGTTTTAAACGCAAGATATATTAGTCAACTTATTTTAATTAGCCGTAACAAAAGCAGCGGCAAAGCATCCGAAACACCAGGTCGATGTTGAAATATAAAACAAAAATAAGTTAACAATATTAATAGTACAAAAATAAAATAATAATAACTACATATATACATTCTAATAAATGTCACAATGCACACTAGATAAGTACTGTTTTATAAACGGCGTTTCAAGGTTTCCGTTGAGAATTAGAATATAAGATTATTATTTTGTATTTGGATTAATTCAGACATTAAAATAAATAAAAAAACATGGTTTTATAAATCAAAAACAATTATTTGAAAAGTAACTTATATTTTTTACATCTACGCAACATAAACATATTGAAACAGAAGTATATAGTGTAGTTTAAAATAATGCACAAATATCTACAGTCATTTTTTAATAACAAGTTGGTAATTATTAAATTGTTGTATAGGCAGAAGAAGAGGCCAGACAACTCCAGAAAAAGATCCAGACCATTGAAAACGATCTCGACCAGACACAAGAGGCCCTCATGCAGGTCAACGCCAAGCTTGAAGAGAAGGAGAAGGCCCTTCAGAACGTAAGTCAATGTTTAATTATTCAAATAAATATTTTAATGTTAAGACAATTCTCAACAACGATAGAGGAATGTGTTGAATACAATACGGAGAATACCAATGAAATAACTAACTATAAATTATTGGTTTTTACTTGGAAATTTACCTGTTATACACTCGTTAAACGTCAATACACACAAGAAACTATTGACGTAAAGTTAGGACTGAATCAAAAAAATCTTTGGATATGTAGATTTTTAATGTTGAAAAACAAACAAATCATCAAACTGAACAACAGTGTCTTCTTTGAAGCATAGATACATATCACATTATGTATAAACTTGGTGTATGAATAAAGTTGGGAATAAAATAATTATGAAGAATATTTTGGACAAGAGATATTTGGTATTAGTTTTACTTTCAGTTGTTTCAAGGTGATAACTTATAGAAAAGTAGGTTTACATTTTATTTAACCTTAGACGTTCAGGTTATTTTGCTAATTTGTCCTTAAGTAAATGTTTGGAGGAGACTAGGATAATTTATTTTGCTAATCGTCATTTCTACTATTGTTTTCATGGCTGTATGATGTGTATGTAAATTAGTAACAAACGATTAAATTGTATGCCAAAACCTTGACCCGAGGAAAATTTTCCTCACTAGTAGTATTATAGGTATTACGTCTTTAAGTGATATTCAAAGAATTATAAAGATATGCAAAACTATATAAAAAATACAGTTGCATAGTTGAAACAGTAACAAATATTTAATTACGATAATAAAAATTAGTTCATACATTAATCATAGACAATAAAAGATATCTTTTAATAAATATTGCAGAGTAGAAAGAACCAATCTTATTAAGTTTTTTATTCTATGGAATACTTGCCAGTAGAATAAAAAACTTGCATAGCTTGCATATTTGAGTTGAAAAAAAAAGCAAATTTAATTGTATTATGAATTAAAAATGTATGTATAACACATTATGGGGTGAAAGTGGTCGCGTATAGTTTATTTAAGGTAAAGTAAAACAGATGGCCTACGTATACAGAACGTTACCCGTCTCGCACGCCGAGCGTCTATTCTTAGCCTCCCACACCTAATATGGGCTCGCTGCCCAGTGTTTTGGTAAAATTAGACGCTTGCTCGCAGCATTATTCACGCGTTTAATACCTAGCTTCCTGAAATTTTAATTAAGAATAAAGGAAGGTAATTGAAGTATTTATTATTACATTGACGAAAAAAAAATGTCAGCCGAAAATTAATAATTGCGAGCGATAATTAATGTCCATGAATTGTATTAATATTAAACATATTATTCAATTCAAAGTATGGACGTAAGGACCGATAATATAATTAAATTAAAATTCTTTAACTAACAAAGTTGAAAAGAAAATTGAACATCACAATTTCTAATGCCTTAATCAGACAAATACATTTAAAATCTGCCGCTCTGAAAAACGTCGGTAAAACAGTGTTTAACAAATGACAATTGACAGACTTAACGCTGTCGAATGAACTCCGATGCTAGCGCTACGTGTTTTGTTAATGAAAAACACACTCAGTCAACATGGCGGCGCGCACTGCGCGGCCGGTTGGATCGCGCGGCGAGCAGTGATGTCCGCGTCCGCGCCCCACGCCCACGGGCGCACCCCCGTGCGGCGAAGGGGGCATCAACATCACCCGCGGTTGAGGGGCGACCGCCTGCCCGCCCCCGGGCCAACCGTAAACAAAACTCCGTCCAAAGAAGTGACCTTAGACTCCAAAACAGACGATGTTGTGCCTTGTGTCAATAGTGTTAGTGAATCTCAAGAAGTGACAAGGACAAATAGTGACGATGCACTTTCCAATCGAAATACAATCGAAGACTCGAATATCGGTGATGAAATTGAATTTGACGTACGGGTACGGGACACCGAGTCAAACGGAACGTCGGATGATGATTTCTCTTTCAAAGAGGAAAGATTGGCTGGTGATGGGGCAGAAGTGGTGTTGTCCACCGAACCCGTGACAGATGACGATCCCGAGACCGCTGAACTAGCCAAACTCAGATGCCCTAGTGAATGTACAGAGGTCTTAGCTGCACGAGAGAACCGCCGCAATCGAAGATGTGCAGATTATCCTGGCCTAGCGTTTGGGAGTTCGATCTTCGCGTCGGATACGATGATGAAGTTTTCCATAATCAAAAATGAGTTGCAGAATATCAAGAATACGGCATTAAAAAGGGTAACAAACCACATCATTGTTCTTGTATTTAAAACATTGAGCAGTTCGCGTGGGCTAAATGCGTTAGGACTATTTTTAATCGCATTTCGTCAGAGAATCTTGTGGGTGTTCCTTGCACGGGGTGGATTGCGATCAGCTGAGCAATTGACATTTTACTTGAAACTTGTTTACACTCAGCAATAACACTCTCATCCGTTAGATGTCGCCACACAATTATTAAATGAAAATGGTTTATAGCTCACACTATCCGCTTTGAAATAAATTAATTCCTTCTCTTAACAACGGCGACAATGGATGAATAAAAAAATGGATATATGTGCTATAGTTATCTTATCTTTGAACCTTCTTCATCTTTAGTCAGAATTACTGATAAGAGGGATTTATCTCAAAAAGGACTATGAATACAAGACGACAATGTTACAAAAAATATGAACAAAATTTACTTAGCCATTAAAGTACACTGTTTTTATTTGACCTAGTTATACATTTGTCTTCGCAAAATCCGTGAGACAAATCGCTATGTATTGTATGAATAAGATTTATTGCATAATAACAGCATTGAATAACCTCAATTAAGAGTTTATGTGAGCAATTTACTAAAACGCAACGCAGTAATTATAAATTGTAATGATAGCTTCATTATAGACTTCACTCCTACTACTATTTTTGCATTAAACAAGTTATATGGTATTAGTATTGGTAGTATGTGCTAGGAAAAGAAAAATCACTTATTACAGTTTTATTCGCCTATAATATAGTCTTCAACATTTATTCACCTTAATTTACGTTAAGAACAATGCTGTTTGCAGGTGTACAGTACTTTCTAAATTACGTCAGACATATTAACATAATAGGTATTTCTGTCGTTTAGTGCCGCGTACTAGGAATATCGAAATGGAACAATTTTTTCTTTTAAAAAATTTTCGACACAAGAAATAGAAGTACCTACGTTTTAACTTTATGCTGTGTATGACCACTAGATGGCGTATAAAGAAATTTTGAATTCAAATCTTTCTTATTTTAAATCTATTCGACATAAATAAAAATGTATCAAGTACTAGTTTCCAAGAATGCATTTATAATATAAATACTTATACAATATAAATTATGAGGGAAAATATCTATTCGAGTTTTGCCATCATTTACATTCAAACTTTTCGCTTCCGTGATTTCATTATATTCTATTGATGAACCATTACGCCCAACCCACAATTATGAATAAGCAGTCTTTATAAATTACAAAACCTCATTTGACCCTTCAGGATGTTGCTTCCTTAGTGGAGACAGGTGGAGCCAGTGAGCTCGGCGCATTCGATTGTGACGTTTACCATTTATGTATGCGGCTTTCTGTCAGTACTCATTTCGAGTATAATGTGCTAACGCGTGGCATCGTTATTTAATTGCATAATATATTTTAAACCTATTTAGCGTTACTCATTCCATTAAGAAGTAATCGCTCGAAAGATCATTAATGAACAAGTGATAAACCTAGTTTTTGTTGGTGGCGGCCATTTTATTCGCCGGCTGTGTTCATTCGTATCACTGCGATACGAGGCAATAACGAACGGCCCAGTCAGTTGGCATTTTTGCGACAAGGGCGAAGGTGTCTCTTGTATTTAGCGTGTAGAAAATCATTATAAATTAAAAGTGAATAAAGATGACGACGAATATGCAACAAGGAACGATTCTCGACGTGTTGAAGAAGAAAATGCGTCAAACAAAAGAGGAAATGGAGAAATATAAGGACGAGTGCGAGGAATATCACAAACGATTACAAGTGGAAATAATGCGGAGAGAAGAAGTAAGATAACGTGTTTTGTATATGTGTCATGTGATTTGTGGAAATGCGATCCAAATATGTGCAATTTGTGTATAGAATCTTACTCTGAAGAAGTTATCAGTTGTCGTAAAGTTATAATACTATCTACCTACAGTGAGTAATGTCCGGCCATACTTAGGTGTGCCGGCGACGTACGCATATTCGCCTCTCTTTCTAATATTACTCCATTGGAAATGTGAGAATGAGATGGCAAATTCGTGTTTTTTGTGACATACCATATTATTCTTTCCAACCAGCAGCATGTAGAGTTCGAAAAAAAGCAACAGGTGTTGCCGATTCGACATTCATTCTTGGGATAAGACTTATAGGAAATTAATATCGAATTTAACGGTGCGCGGTGTGCCAGTTACTGTTGCTAACAGGTTTGGTCGCGTCTGAGGTCGTGTGCCAGACTTGAAGCACATGATTTTAAGCCGGTATCCATCGTGAAGTGCTCCCTTTAATACATTCCTCGTAATCGTTGATGTTCAGACGTCCTCCGAAGGATCGCGCCGGCGCCCCATAGGCGTGTCCGATTCCTCGTTTTTATCGACATGACGTAATTTTTATGTCTGCTCTAACATAATTATATTGTGTACAGCCTTTTAATAGCGTGTTACCTACAAAATCTGAAAGGTTCCGTTACCTCCAGAATGGAATAATTGTAATTACACCTGTCCGTGTTCGTGGCCATGAATTTTATTTGGTCGTATCGCATGTCTTATCGCTATTTTCGTGTACAAAATTATCGATAAGATGTTTCCATTCGAGATATTTATTAAAAATGTGCTTTGAATTCTAAACAATCGATGGCGATTTTTACAAATCCGTCTATTAACAGTAATCCCATTTTGTTTGCCTTATACCATATCCAAGATTACGTAGGCGAGTACTAACATTAGAATTTCACATAAGCATGACGCTCACACAAGTATTTCGTTTTGTTTAGAATAATAATGCGATGTACTTCAATCTGAGTTTAATAATGCACAAAATGAACATCGTCGGTTATACTGTTTATAGTTTACGGAGTAGTACACATTTAAATAAAACACTTTAACGGTTTAAAACGCGGTATATTAGTTAAACTTATTTGAAAATGATTTTTAAGTCTCCTGTGACCACAGCTCTGCAAAGCATCCGAAACGTCGGCCGAAGTTACAAATCATTTTCAAATAAGTTTAACTAATATATCGCTTTTAAACCGTTAAAGTTTTTATTTTTGGTTATTTTATTAAGTAAGTCGACACTATAACTATGACAATTTGTAATGTGTTCGATTTTTGTAAACGGACCAGACTTAATTACTTAGGTCATAAAGACTGTCCAATGCTTTTAAATCGTTTGTTCAAAATCCGCCTCTACTACATACTGAGATAACGGTGCGTTCATTGTCTAGCACTACAAAAAGGGAATTTTACCATTCCCTCCGCGTGACTGTTTTGTATTACAATTACTGATCGCTATTGTATAGAACATGTCAATGGAGACAATGATCACGCCCCGACCGATCCCATAGAACAATTTTTGATCCCTCACATAATGAGGATTTCACAGAGCATTCAAGTGTTACCTGTGCGAAGCCTTATTTGAATGATATCACGTTACAAATTGATGTGCTACTCGCTAAGGTTATTGACTTACAAGGCTGAGTTTTTCGGCTGTCTGCTCAGGAAAATAACGACAAATACATTGGCCATCAAGCGCCGAGTTCAAGGTGACTCCACAAGGCACAGAGATCTATGAATAGCATTTGATTACCACCTGAACGGTGTGTTATGTTCAGCATACTTCACAAAATTATCCTACTTCCTACTTATAAACGCGCGGTTATGTTTCGCTAGTTTTGCTTTAATTAGAGGTGCAACAACGATTTAGAGATCAATCTTCTATTGAAAGCAATTCGCTATTATTAACCACGCATAAATGACGACACAGGATAAAAGGAGAAACTGGGACTCGTTCGAGCTTCCTCGCAACAAGGACGCGTGATGTCATATAGACATGCAGCTCACTGAATATAAATAGTGCCGGCGAAATATTCCAATTGACGACTAATTCTCGACACGTTTAATGTGTCGACGTTTAACACTGCTCATCTTATGTGATACACATATTTAATTAAAAGCCAAGGCACCGAAACTCGAAATCTATAGTACTTAAACAATCGATATTTTAAATGAACGACACACAACACTATTTTTACGATTTCTATATTCGAAAATCAAAAGCGTGGAGTATAATTGCCACCGTAATAGTTATTGAATTTAACTTTGGTTTTGTCGCTTCACGATCATCTTTTGTTTCTGCCACGTCATGATTGTTAAATTTGTCACAAAGGACTATCCTATTATGAATTCATTAATTGTGTATTGTGAACACGTCGCTTTGAATCTTGTAAATTATTTCAAAGGCTTACGGCCCGAAAACTGGAGATAGGGAGTGCAGATTTTTATATTTTTTGAACACGCATGAATTATACAATAGTAAATAATAAAATATAATCCGCAGAAATCAGGCCATTTAAATTAATAATTTATTTTCGCCAGCAATCGACATACCTATTCGGTGAAAGATCGATAATTTAATGTAATTATCAAATTTCACATTTACTCGGAAAACTCGTTGTGTCATTAATTATTATAATAAAAAGCTAAGACTAGAGCTTATAGTGCACTCACATTTTCGAGAAATAAAAATACAAGTTTTTTACTAAAGTTGATTTATGTTTATGATGTAATTTGCAATTTAAATCTACACTTGTTCATTAAAATTTCGCTTGGCAATAATTATTTTATATTTTCATCCTAATAAGACCCTGCTTTATTGCTATGCAAATATTTCCATTCCGTATCACATTGAGGCACGTCCCTGCCTATATTTTTTGTATTACATATTATCATAATTACTATATGTTGCACTTAAACAAAGGATTAAAATTTACTCCAATAAAATTTTAATTACACAAATAAATTTCATCAATCATTTACAGTAATAAGAACAAAGATTATTTAGTATAAGAAACACTTTTACGAATGAAAACGTGAATTATATTAGATATTATTTTTTTAACTAAGTAATGATAGATGTTTTGGATACAGCAGTCTATGAATCTAGTGACGTCTGTATATTATATGCCGTGACAGCGATGCGGACTTCCTCTTATTAGCCATAATATTGTACAGTAAATGGTCTAGAAAAGGGCTCTAACATATCAACAACAACAATTAATAACTGCTTCAAGACTTACTATGTAACGTTATTATTTTTGTGATTTTATGAATACATGCGATATAATATTAATCTATTATTGTAATTTCAGGCCGAATCCGAAGTGGCTGCACTCAACCGTCGTATCCAACTGTTGGAGGAGGACCTTGAAAGGTCAGAAGAGAGGTTGGCGACGGCCACAGCCAAGCTTGCCGAGGCTAGCCAGGCTGCCGATGAGTCTGAACGGTCAGTTCGCTGTTATACCGATCTATTTGATCTAATATTTTAATGAATATTTCAATCCTTTTTGTAAACGCCTATAAAAAATCTAGGTATAGCTTTGACTATTGACTTGACTATGTGTAAATCTACTTTGTTGGGGTGCCTTTAAATATTCTAATTTAAATAATTTATTACTATTTTTGTTTGGGTTCAATTCTCAAATTTTTCGAGCCCTGCTCGAGTTGTTATATATTATTCGTGTAACTGTAATCTGTATTCACAGTTTGGTAAACCGTTTTGTCTCAATTTTTATATTTTATCGATCTTATAATGTAGACTATACGGATTTTTATCGCTTATATGTGTGCATGGATTTTTTTGTTTAGTTTATGACTCTAACCACCATATTACCTGATATAATTTAATTTAGGAAGTCTTTATAATACCCCTTTTTTAATTACAATAATTTTGTTATGAGGAGAGATTCATTGTACCATTGACAATATTTATCCGAATTTTAAATATATACATGAAACTCTCCGATTCATTTGAGTTGTGTTATGGTCAGCGTAACCAATACAAGTGTTGTCCAAGTTTTATCGATGTTTTAACAAGCATGTGTTTGACTCCGCACTAACCAGAATACGCAAGGCGTTGGAGAATCGAACGAACATGGAGGACGACCGCGTCGCCATCCTAGAAGCACAGCTCGCCCAGGCGAAACTCATAGCGGAAGAGTCCGACAAGAAATACGAGGAGGTGAACGCTTGATCATGATGTTTTACTTCCGTGTTACCATACGTACTTGACTAAGTGCTCACCGCGGTTTACCTGAACTAAAAAGTAGGCTAAGCTACTCCTTATACTTATGATTTGGGCCACTTTTGACATTAACTTCAGCGTGACGTATACTTTCAAAAAGGTTAAACAATGGTGCGGTTCTAGTTTAATCATATTTTGTCTTCTTAAAATAATGAATGTGGCCTATTAAATTGGCCTTATAGTGAGCCTGCAAGTCTTGCCGAAAATCGGGTTTGCAGTATGATCCTCTATATATACATAAGTACTCAATAAGAAACATATTTCTGTTCAGTAACAAACTATTAAAGTTCTGTGTGTGACAACTGCGCTCATTATGACTGGATTTACTGCCTAATGTGTAAGGAGAAGCCTTATCTACTACTTATAGTTACCATTTGAACAGAATAGGCACGCTGTTAATCTCTATCAAACTAGTCACTATCGTCACGCTCCATTCGCTATCAACTATGCAACTGTTCAGTCGTAACATATCGTTTTTCTATTTTCACGTATGGTAACACAAACAATTTGTCAGAAATTGTTTTCAATCAATATACTAAAAATATCGTTATTTTTAAGAGCATGGAACAAAGTGAAACGTTTCATTTTGTCACTGCATTGTGATTAGAACCGAGTTAGCTTACTAGAATCGTGTTAAGTAACCGCGTTCAGTTTCAATGATATCAGATGATAATGATAGTTGACTCGGTTCTAATTAAAATTCTCCACAGCATTTCTCTACTACGAGATTGACAATCGCTTTGTACGTTCTTACTGAAGTGTGTCGTTGCATGTCTTCTAACTCTTGCGTTGCCCTTCTCTTCCTATATGTCTCTTTGAAATTTGTGTTGAAGTCGTATATTCTTGGCGACAGTGCCCGCAAGATTCTGGAGAACAGGTCGTTGGCCGATGAAGAGCGTATGGACGCCTTGGAGAACCAGCTCAAAGAAGCCAGATTCCTCGCTGAGGAAGCCGACAAGAAATACGATGAGGTCTTTGTTTTTACGTGTTGTGTGCTTGTTATATTTGGTTTTGAAAGCTTGCATATTAGAGCTTTCTTTCAGAAATAACAAGCTGCAGTCATTCGTCGTTGCGTGTGAACCAGAACCTTTTGATAGCTTAACATGTTAATATTGACCCTTTTTGTCATTATCCTCTTCTAACTGGTTTCGAAGAAAACCACACTAATTGTTTTTACTACATTGCGTTCGTTGTTGTTCCAATAAGTAAAATAATCATCGAGTATTTCAATCCAAATAATAATACTAAAATCAGCATGTTTTGCCGTTCTACGTTCTATCTAGCATCTACGACGTTCGAGAAGGAGAAATTTGTCAAGAGATAATTATTTTGCATTAATATAATGTTGTTTTAAGACTACCGAATATTACTCTCTGAAATTGATTTTGTGAACATGTGTCTGTAACAGATGGTTGTAATGATATCGCCCTAATTCCCCTGACATATGACCCTGGCTGGTGAAGGCAGTGTTAAAGTCAAACTAAAAATGGCACGGTGTCGTGCGTGATCGTCGGTTTCTTTTCCTTAAAAGGAAGAACGTGTTTACTCGCATATATCTCGTTACATAAGGTACTACCTTATAAGACGGGTGCAGTAATTGCTCAAGAATATAACTTACTTCCAAACATAGTCAAGAATCTTTTGGTTTTACATTATTTAATGGTAGTAAATGTAGGTTTCTTATGTGCTCATGATGTGTTCAGGTCGCTCGTAAGCTGGCCATGGTTGAGGCTGACTTGGAGCGTGCGGAGGAACGTGCTGAGGCTGGTGAATCGTAGGTTTCCAATGAATTTGTCGAATGCACATTGACATAACTAATATTGTTCTCGGCCCTTTTTGGCAAATAATTCCGAATTATATTGTTATGTCCTATGTGCTATAGTTAGCTAGTTTTTTTTGGTCACCGTTTGCATGGTTGTTCATTTTAATCAGCACAGTAATCCGGATTTACCGTCATTGGTTTTTCTCTAACTTCTCATCTTGCATGTACAATTCTAGGTCGTGTACGACGGAAGCTGATTTGGAGATTTTTTTTACATTAATCATAACATTAACAGCCGGTGTTGCAATATCCATCGTTTTGTGGATTTGTAATACTTATTAATAAGGTATTTTAGTGGCGTTCGCAGACACACGAGTGCTGCGAGCGTCACTAGCTTGTTAAAAAAACAAGGGTTGCCCCATCTCATGGATATTTCTTATTCAATGTTAACTATCATGTCCATGTGTCGATTTAACTTCTGTCTTAAATGTGTGTTTTCTCAAATGGTTAAAGAGGCTATCAGGAAATATGTGTGGTATAGGGCAATTTTCGTTTTCAGATATGCGCCGCTATACACCAGAATTACTGGCCGTATGCGTGCCGCACATATACAAGCGCACACATCACATAACGATTATGATGACGCACTAGATAGCACATAGATTTTCTTCTTTTAATATTTGAAAAGTTAATTTTTTAGAACTAAATGTTATGGGACAACCCTCGTTTTTATTTTATTTTTTGAGAGCTGGTGCCATTCTCGATTGCCCGCTTTTCTCCTTTAGTATATCCTAAACTACCTGCTGCTCAATCAACGTCGATCACATTTCATCGATTGATTATTTCCGCACTCCTGGTAATTTTATTATGACCGCATATATTTTATACCTCGACTGGAGAAGCTAAATACATGATATGATAATTGTCGATCCCTAACGATCCTAACCTTCACTTCCCGCACCGTACAAAGTTATAAGGCGATAAGAAGATATTATTAAGGCGTTACCGATGCTTCAATGCACTGCACCGTGACAGCGAAGTCGAGAATGGCATCGGAGCGTAGATATAGTGTTGCCAGGTCGAACATTAACATAAACATTGAATTTTCATACATTTTGCCGCGAAATTTAACGAACGATTTTATGTCACTCTGCCATTAGTTGATTAGACATCACTCATTTCCCTTAATTGTTGTAGCATAGCATTTTTATTAAACATACAAAACATGCTATTTCCCCTATTTTACCCGAAATTTCCCAAATAACTCACGATCTGGCAACACTGGTAGTTTAGTGTGTGTTGTGTGTGTGTGCGTGGGCGTGTACTAACGCTCGGCCGGCGGTAGGTGGCGCGCAAGCTCGTCCTCATGGAGCAGGATCTAGAGAGAGCCGAGGAGCGGGCCGAGCAGAGTGAATGGTAAGTGCGCTTCTACGGTAACGGTACTCGACACTCGACATACCGACGACCACTTTGCATTGCACCAAAACATGTCTTACAAATGCCGTTTCTGTCGCGAAGATACTTTACTATACTACTAATTTTGTCTAAAGAAATATGCTCAAATAAAAGTATATGACAAAATTCACACCAATGAAGTAGCCTAAGTGTAACATTTTTCCCAGATCGTTGAGACCGGGACTAAGCTGATTTATATAAAGGCAGAGAGGCAGCCTCCCTTTAATTAAATAAACCGTCACACAATTTTATCGCTTAATCAAACGCGCGACGTCACATGTTTTCGAGTAATGCATATTTGCATAATGCATACATTTTTGTATCGGATATCGAAATAGTAAACATTTACCCAGCGTATGCGGTATAATATTGATAAAAGAACTATGTACTAATTGATTCCGATTATAAAGATGTGTAATTTATTGTAGTAAAAGATTTTCTAGCTAAAATGAATGCGTAATTTTTACTATCTATCAGTTGATGTTTAGATAGTAATGATTAAATAAATGGTAATGGTGAAATTGACTCGCGCATGTATTTCAATCACTTACACTAATACCATCAAGATTTTTTTAACAACTAATTAGTAGTTGGCTTTCATCACCAAATTAATTGACCTATTTTATTACGATTGTTTTTAATATCTCAATTGATGTCATTTGATTTGCCTTTGATTGAACTCAATAGAATCGGTATTTTACATGTCATTTTATTACACAATATCTGTTTAAATTTAAGTTAAAGATGAGTCACAAGTTTTAGCTTTTTGCTCGTCAGCTAATGGAAAAGAGTAGGCATACAAGAGCCTGTATTATTAAAGAAATTGACTATTGTTTACTTATTTTTCAGCAAAATCGTCGAGCTTGAAGAGGAACTCCGCGTTGTCGGTAACAACCTGAAGTCCCTCGAGGTCTCTGAGGAAAAGGTATATCGATAAAATTATTTATATAGCTATGTTTTATCAGAGCTAGAGAAGTCCAAGCTATCGAAAGAGATATTATTATCATTAAGCACCAACCAATGAATTCGATGACGTAGTTAAAGTGTCTCTGACCATTGATATCGAAATAATAATGTGCATTCCACGCAGGCCAACCAACGTGAGGAGGAGTACAAAAACCAAATCAAAACCCTCACCACCCGCCTAAAGGAGGTGTGATGTGAATGCGAGCCGTTCTTTTGAGCGAGTGATTTACGCTTGCCTAACTGCATCATGTCGCACTCCTACAGTAGCGTTCACGGCTGATCTATCATTGCATCTCTTCTATCTCTTTCATGATCCTCGGTAAAAAACAAAATGGTATATCAGCCGTCGAAGTAGATCGTTTTCCTCTCCAGTTTTAGTTGTTGTGTACGTTAACAGTATTGTCGTTGTTTAGTTTTTAGTTCCTAATCTAGTGTCTCAGTGTTGTCGCACTGTGATACTGCATGGAGTTGTTTTTTTTATCTCGTTAACTAATGCAGGCGACGCAAAGGGAAGAAACGTTCGAGACACAGGTGAAATTGTTGGACGCGTCGTTAAAAGAGGTAACCGGAAACTGACGGCGTAGATAGCTCTGGTTACGGTTGTAGATTCGGCTCATGCTCATCGCCATTTTTGTGTTTATCGAAATATCCATTCGACGGTTCTGTTATTGCGATACATTTAACTGCAGTTAATCTATTGATGTTTCAAATATTATTAAAAGTTATATATGAACCAACATGTCTTAAGATATATTAATAGTGTTAAGTGCTGTTGAAAGTTTGCCATTTACCGTCCGAGTGGGTGTTGCCGATGGTGTAGGCTCGTATAGTCCAGTGGCTGAACGGTTGGTGCTTCGTCCATGTATTTCCAAGTTCTATCTATTATACTTGTGTATTTAATTTCTATATCTTTGTACCCTTTCCGCTTATGTTGTGATCGTGCGATGTCCCTTTACTGTAAATATTATATTTGGGTAATTACGGATTGTAATTTTGAACGTGTTCGCGTATGGATGATTGTTTTTTTTTTAAAGGCTTAAATTAAAATTCGTGCAAAGTATAGCTGTGCTTCGTCCTCTCCAAATTCCTTCTCTTAATGGGACGCAGTGTACAGTACAATGGTAAAGGGGAATTGAACAATCACAACATGGGCACACTCGCATGCTTGCTGTGAGTATGTAATGCAATGAGTCGTATGTGGCTAGGCGATGGCGTCTCGTGAGCACGTCGAGGATAAGATCCACAGCCTCTCGCAGAAGTTGACGCAAGTAAGTCGCTCGATAATTGGGAGGACTTTGGTCACAATACTAGCGAAGTTGACTTAAACATATTTTACAAATTAATTTCTAGATAAGTAATTTTACCATCGACGTTCGTTTTTAAACTCGTTGAAAGATTGAAATTGTAGTGAATACTTCAATACGACTTTTAACTCGAGACACTCAAGTAAGGTTCTTAAATGACAAATTTTCCTACAAACATACATTTTTTCTTTTTCTTTCAACGCGACCAAAGCCAATCCAAATATCATGTCCCTAACCATTTCACTATCATATCAATTTGTGTATAATGTTGGGGGTAATGGTATTTTGTACATTCTTATTAGATATAGCGCCAGCACAGCGCATAGCTACACCTGGTTAAGGTACCTGCATGGTGTTAGTTTTGCTTAAATATAGTGATTTTTGTGTATTAATACCGCTTAAATTTTTTTAAAATGTAAATTCTTGCTGAAAAAAAAATAAAAACTATTTCTTATTATTATCGTTTGCATGGTGTTTATCAAGTGAAAATAGTCTTTTTTCTGTTCGATTAATTAAAAATAATATAAAGATTATTTTTAATTCATATCCAGAAAAGAGACTATTTTTTTAAAGAATAATTATTAAATTTCGTTCTAACATTTCCAGGCTGAGGCTCGCGCTGAATTTGCAGAGCGCTCTGTCCAAAAACTACAGAAGGAGGTCGACAGGCTTGAAGGTAACATGCTGTTATTTACATTTGAAATTAAATATTTATTTTTTATTTTAAATTATACATGTTATAGAGAGCAGAAATTGTCAGTTGAGATCCACAGATAATATAAAACGAGTACAGCAGTCGGTTAAGTGATTAAATAATCTCTGAAGTCAAGTTATAACAAATGTTTAACAAATAACCAAAGCTTCAAAACATCATTCATATTGTTTAAAGCCTTAATTAGATTTGAAAGCTTCTTTTTCTCATTTCGCTATGATTAAGCTAAAACATTATTTTTAATTATTTTCTATAGAAAGGCTACAGTGTACACCTCACGTCATTTCCTCGTATTTGGTGTACTCCTATGTACTTTCACATAATGCTATTTCTCTTTATTGCGTAAGCATGGAGTTTAAATGTTGTCCTCGTAGATGCTCGAATTTCGATGTAGTTATCCCATTACTGTTATTTTTGCATGATAGTTTCATGTTGATTTTTTTGCCTGTCGCGGTATAGGTATATGCAATTGACAGTATTATTGTTATTTTTACATAGAATGTTCGAAAGATTTTCGAAAAAATCAAAATTGAAGTAAAAAAGGCAAAATTGGATCCTGAAATTCATTGCGTTCAATTACTTAGTGTGTATCTTGTAGATACTGTCACACTCCTTTTTTACCTATCTTTCAAATATTGAATAGTCAATGTGTTGACGTTTAATATGCAATTTGAAATGTCGTTGCAAATTTCATATACCTATACCAGCCAACTAATGTTTTGTGTGTCTGACCGTGTCCACATGGGGTATTGCAGACGACCTGGTGGCCGAGCGCGAAAAGAGCAAACTCCTGCAGGAGGAAATGGAGGCCACACTCCACGATATCCAGAACATGTGAACACCTCTCCACTCACCCGCCCGACTCACTTGTCGATATCGATATTCTCTCGCTACCTCACTATACCTCGCTGTGTAATGTCAGCCGTCAGACGAGGTGGTCAAAAACGGTTCTTTGGGCGGGAAACACCTTGTATATTACTGTAGTTCTCTTATTTATTGCCTTCGCTTAAGATTGGCGTGTTCTGAGCGTTTAATAATGAATACTTTGCAAGGAGGAAGCGAGGCGGGCGGGGGTGACTAGATGTTAATAGATGTAGATTAATTGCCAGCTGCTTTTAATTTCATTATCGTGTGTTCGCTACGACACCACTGCCATGTGCAATTTTCCGTACACAGTAATTATTGTAGACGTATCCTCATTTGTCTTAGATATTGTATTGAAGCCGCAAAGATATTTCGGGTGTTGTACGCGTTCCGAGCTTTTGTGCGTATTTTTAAGATTAACGACATTCCATTACGTGGACCAATTCGACACACGTCTAAAATGTTAAGCACAACGGTTTTTAGCACGCGATTTTTGTATTAACATTCCCATTTTCTTACCTGCGCACGAGCAGACATCGAGGTGACCTCGGCGCACTGTATTTCGATTATCGATCGATATTTTTTTATTTACTTAACGCTAGTGAAGAGATTAGATATTTTTTATTTAACGACTGCCGGTTACAATGAATTGAAATATTTATTGCGAGTGACTCGATATTGAGCACTCTAATTTCTCGTGTCATATAACATTCGTTATTATGTAAAAGTGCGGCCATTTTTGGTCGGAGCTGGCAATCCGTAAGCGAGTGGACGTCACCGGAGCTCCGAGCGTTAAACTAAACATTGTATGGAACAAAATTTATTATATTATTATGAATGATCAATCGGGGATAATCCGTCTTGAACTTTTTAACGATTTATGAATTCATAGATAATAAGTACGTGAGAAGTAAATTAATGAGTTTAAGAGTATTCTAACACGTGTTTATAAATATATTATATTATTATTTTTAGTTTGTTGTTTTTTTACTAACATGTGTGCTCCTTCTAACCCATTCTTTCCATTAATACCTTATTTGTTCCATCAGCTATAAGACTTTGTTTTCATTTCATTTGTCAATAAATCTTAATCATTCGCCGTCGAACATACGACGAGCTTCCATCGTCCGCCATCTTATGTGGAGCACGGGGCATGAACTGAGCGTGGTCGTACCATAACGAAATTACTCCAGAGTCCAGTGTTAACGCATGCCCTAAAGAACGAAGATTATGACGAAGGAGAGAGATGTGCAGTAGAGTAGAGAGAGAGAGAGATCTGACCCCTGAAAGCATGGTGGTGTTGTTGAACGGCCCCGGAGAGTCCCCAGCCCTATAGAAATGGCATGACGTCGCTAACGCACGAACGTATGCGTCACGCGCCCTTACCGAGCCCGAATGCCGCAGATGACCTGATCAACGCTAAGGAGCAGTTCAATGACATCGGCAACGACATCGACGACACCGCTGTCGAGCTCATCCCCGGTGTCGAAATGACCGAAAGACAGATCGACATGATCGCGAGGGCAAAGGAAGAGCGGCTCAAGAAGGCCCAGCAGCCCCAGCCTCCACCGAAGGAGCCGACTCCACCGCCGAAGGCGCCTACTCCGCCACCGAAGGCTCCTACGCCCCCGCCAAAGGAGCCCACGCCTCCACCTCCGGAACCCACCCCGGCCGAACCTGCTCCAGCTGAACCTGCTCCACTGAACCCGCCCCGGAGCCTGCTCCGGCAGAATCCGCACCAGCAGAACCTGCGCCGGCGGAACCCGCGCCGGAAGAGGCCCCCGCCGAATAAGCCACCTAAAATTGTACCCATACAAAAATTATTAATAAATAGCTGATGGAATAGTACCTACCTTTGATCTAAGCATGCGTGTTGTTGGCTTAAGTGAAAGCGCGTATGACGGCGGTCGGTCGGTGTTCGCAGACGACTTGATCGCGAGCAAGGAGCTGTTATCGGACATGGGCGACGAGCTGGACGAGGCGTTCCTGGAGTTAGGGCTGCCTGTGGGGTGGCGCGCTTGCGACCGCTGCCCCTGCTACCACTGACCGGCGACTCTAACAAGTTTCCGCTTTTCATGTGCATTTAAACCAGTAAAACATTTCACTCACACGTTCTTATAAATTCGAACCTTTAGCATGGAAATGACGGTTCCGTCGGAACGAAACACGCATGGCTTCCAATAGGACGGCGACATGTAAGCATTCTTTTAATATTCTCTCGCTTCTGTATATTTCGCTCGACTAATTGCGCAACTTGACTTGCAGGAGTTAGAGGTTTAGTTAAAACGGTAGGACGGTCAGGGCTTAGGTAGCTGCCTTGTTCTAAAGTAATTGTGTATTTAGACGAGCTCGTGGCCGAGAAGGAGAAGTACAAGGACATTGGAGACGACCTAGACACCGCCTTCGTGGAGCTGATCCTCAAGGAATAGGCCAAGCGTGCCTGGTGCGCTCGCTGACAATGGCAACTGACCGCCGCTGCTATGTATAGATTTATTTTATACTAATTTATATGTTAAAGTATTATCCATAGATATATGGTGGTATTTATTTTTCAACTATGATTAATAAATAATTTATTTATAGACTCCGTTTTATTTACATCCACCAATATTTGTAATTATTACAAAGCAATCAGGTGCCTGTTCAATATTATTCATTTTGCATTTTATATTTTTATTTTTAGCACTTGCTAGTTTATGCTTTTGCTAATGGATAAGTTATGTATGTTGTAGTTGGTGTATCCCTCAAATTGTATTTTATCACAAACAGTATGTAGATAAGCACAACTTTATTGAAGTTAACAAATACAATTAATGCAATATAACAAGAATATAAAATATAATAAATAATTTGGGTCAAAAATTTTATATACCTCTGATTGTAAGACGATGAACGATTAACCCGACTAATGTACTTGTAAAAATATAAATATACATCAACTGCCTTCCTTAAGGTAATTTTTAAATAAGGGAGCAGATAATGTGAAAAAACCTGATTGGTAGTTCTTAAACAATAATCACAACGATATTGTATGTACCTATAGTAACATTATTACTAACAAACTAATAATCAACAGACGAAGTTATCGAAGAAAGAAGTAAGTATAAAGCAATCGCAGAAGAGGTGGACCAGACATTTGCTGATCTGTCGGGATATTAAAATAGGACGCTGTTAGATGCCGCCATTTCGGATTTTGGCGCCAAAACGCTTTTGCACATGGCGAGTTTTGACATGTGACACTGTGATTGTATTGTTTTTACTTTAAAATGGCAATGAAATTGGTTCATACTTAGATGAAGAAATTGTTTTTTGTTCATTGTCGTTTTAAAAATCGGAAAGATTCCATGCTGTATATAACGTTTTAATATTTACATTGTTGGCGTTATACCTACATTAGCACTGCCTATTCTGACTTCTGAGTACGCTACTAACAGTTTTTATTGTCGATTAGTATTGATATAGACAAAACGACTGTGAACCGGCTGTATGTCTTATTCTGGGCACTACACATGATTCGTAATTCTAATTTTTTAATTAAATTTAAATGAGAATTTTGGGGTAATTTTCTAATAAATAAAAATATACTCAACTAATTTTTATATTTCATAAATTTTATTATAAATTAATTCTTTTCAGATAAGAAAATAATTCGTTTATAATTACTAGCTCTAATTAAATAACTTGCCCTTTCACAGTCTATATGATACGTGTTCAAGTTACTTAAAGCTAATTACTCATTTGGATCTGTAATTTCAAATTTGGTTTTTATAAGATCTAGATATAAGTTTTAAGGCATTATTATAAGGGCCACCCCACCGAGAGACTAGATTCAAATAATGGATTCAAAACATTAAACAACGCTCTTAGGAATTAGGCTAATTCTTAATTTTTAATAATCTCCATTACAATACATAATACATATGTTCAGTAAGACTACTCTACTCGTATTGCTTAGTTTTTGATGTAGCTTTTAATATTGACGAATGTGAAGCTTCATATAAAATTGATTGATGAAATATATACTTTTTCCTAAATTATCTTTTATTTATGTCCTTATTATAATGCATGCATGTTACTTACATAAAAGAAGTAAAGATAAGTGAAATAAATAAATAGAGATATTCTCTTTGATGTGATTCAAAATAGTTCGTTATTATGTTTATTTTCAAATGTGCTGTTTCAAATTTCATAGCATTATATAAATTGTAAAATGTATAAAAGAAATTCAGGGTTTGAAACGGCATCCCTTCGATCCGTGCTGCTTCTATAACCATTTAAACTACTGTGTCTGATACATGTCGTCCCTTTGCTATATTAGATAAAACTAAAATAGTATTTAACAAATAATGCCTAAGAAATTTTGAGTTTCGTGTACCTTACGTAAGTACAAGCAGCAAGTATTAATTCTGCTAGTTTAAATCCTGCCTTATATTTTTTTCAATCGTTTATTAATTTATTTCTTAATAAATTCGTTTAAATATGCCTATTGGTCGTTTTCTTAAAGCAATATCTTATCAAAAATGGACATGTATTGATGGTTTCAGACAACCATATTTATGAATTTCCTATTTTTAATATAAACAGACGAAACGTGTGAATTTCTATTTTGTTTTCGTTTACCCTCGTATGTTTTTAATCTGACAAACAGCGACTCTGCCATTTATTGCTATTTTATTTGAAACGAGATTTATTTTGTTTATTAGCGTAGGTACTTGCGTATTATACATACAACCTTACGTAAATACTCGAACACCTTCGCTCCTCGCCCGGAAGCACTACCTGTCTTTTATCACAGAGTATATATAGCTGTCAACTTCACTCATCATATTTACTTTTTTTAGTTTAAAAGCTTTCAAATCTAAACATAATAATTGAAACCTCGTTATAACACGATTTAGGTACTAACGTGGAAAAAAGTATATTTACCTGAATACATAGTAAACAATGTATATTATTATAATATTTAATAGTGATCACCTAGTAAAGAGAAAATGTTTCTTTAACACTCGGCCTAAGAACATAAAATTGGCAAAACATTTTTCGTGTTGCAGCGGAAACATTATCCAGGAGTCAGTATTTTCGCTGTAACTCAGTGGTTCAATGTAAAGTTTGCATAACACGAGAGGTCTCGGATTCAAATGCTAAGGAAATAAATTGTTTCGATGGGGCAGAAAACAAAACTAAAAAACCTGATTATCTGATTAATTACTTGCGTATGGACATCCCACGCCCACACAGGGAAACGAGATATCATATAACGTTTGTATACTTTTTATACATACGCATCTGTTATATAAAGGATAAAATGTAGTTTTGAAAGTTTGTTTGTAATCTTTATTTAGTGCTAACTAGATGAAAGACGGACGATGATCTCAATGGCTTCTAATTTTAGACCAACTCTACGCAATGAGACTCTTTTGGTTCACAATAGTTAAAATGTGCGTCCGATTGAACATTGAATGTAAGATGTCCTTCAATATCGAAGAAATACACACTCTTAACTATCTTTACTCGCCGAATGCGTCTGAAATAAAGACACAAGATGGGCAAGAAAATGTAAAAAATATATATGGTCTTTAATATTTATACTTTATTCAATTAATTTCTTCAAATTTGGATATAGTAGATGTGTAAAAAAACTTCAGATTTTATTGAAGGATTAGGACCAGTACCTACTTATATTTTAATAATAATTGTAAATCCTCTAATATTGTTGTAATAGAAACGAATTAATAATTTTCTTGCTAGAATCGATTAAAATAACTACATACAAAAAATGTTTTTTTTTCGTCATTCTTTATTTACACAGTTAATACAAATATGCATTACTTGAGTAATAAAATTATTTACGCAGAATAAAAAAATTCTGCGAAATTAAAAACTAAATATGAAATACATATCTGACATTATAGCCACCTCTTTAATATTTTGCACATTTAACTCTCTCTCTATAATATTTTGAACAAGAAGAGTTTCCGGTCAACTATTTGTTAGGAATTAAGGGCATTTCCGTTACACATGTTTATCGCAATAAATCCGATATCGTCCACATCCATACACATACATGTTGTGTACTGTCTCGCGGATCAGAATCCTGAATTTTTGGCACCGAAAATAGCTGGGCGGGCGGCGGATTGGTGTTTAGGGCGGGCGACGAACAGTGCGTGCCGCTCCGCCGTGACAACCGCCCGTAGGTGAGTCCGCCAGGCCTGGGTACCCCCTGGACTACTTGACCCCTCAGGACCTCAGGATTGGGGCGATAGTGCAGTGCAGTGGAGTATCCAAGCCTAGTGTTAAGAAATGTGATAGTGTTGCCAAAGCTCGGATTACACTGCGCGCGCGTCTTACTGAATATAGTGCGCGACGACCAACCTATTTGCGGCCAATGTATTTATTTAGCGATATGGGAAAATCTTTATTTTTATTGCGTGGCCCGGTTCTGTGCGTATTTAGGACATCAGGTGATGTTAAACAATTTTAGACGAATAGCTTTAATATAAAATTTTAAAAGAACATACTTTTTGCTTGTAAAAAAAGTTTATAAGTAGAAACGTTTTTTTTTTGTTTTGATTTGTTACGTTTTAAAATTAAGACATCTATTAATTACGTTACATCTACAATATACACTATACAAATCACATATTTTCTATTCTACAGTTAAGAAGATCATTTAATTATTACATTTACAGGTTTTCAGTTGGACGGTCTCTAGATAATATTCTTTAGGCATATTGATGTATCTAATATTTCCATTATTTTTGCCATGTAATCTGGCAAAAATAATGGAAATATTAGACGGTTCTATCTTTCGTGCTTAACTTTTAAGGGCACCAGCTCGTCTTGAGAGCGGACGGAATTTAAAACGTTTGCGCTAGTTTGTAACATTTAACGCCCGCCAAAAATAACTTTCGCGTCACTTGCTAGTTATTTTCGCAGTTTCCAGGCGTTTTTCGGCGGTTAATGCGATACACGTCGGAAGCTGAAGGTTATATATAATCTTAAATATAGACAGTTCTATCACCAGCCAAGTTATTTCAAGTTTGTACATTGCTCATTGAAATATACAAAGATAGATATGTATGTATGCACATAATCTATAAAGGAATCAATCATGTAAACAAACAAATTATTTTTATTTCATAAATATATGACACCTTTTATTAACGGTCTTCAAAATTTTTAGGTTATTAAATTAAACTTCGGTTCGCAAATTATTTTAATATTACTTGGTTTCGGGGTTATAGGTAACTATTATATAAAATTACTAATTATAGTAAACGTAAAAAGATTGAAATTTTTCAATTTATGAGCAACTATTTACTTGATTCAAGATTTAAAAGAGAAATAGCTTTATATGATTTTCTGTCACTTTTAAATGTATGAATATGTGTGGTAAGTTTCCTGGCCCAACTAGATTTATTCAATAAATTTGGTATAGACTAGAGATATTATAATAAAACTGTGGTAACGTTGAATCTGAAGATCGCCAGCTATTAAATCTGCAGTTCTGCATGTGGCTGGTTGGAACTCAGCCAACTGTGAACAAATAGATAAAATTAAATCAACTCCCACGAACCATGTAGAAACTGCGAGATTTTCTTATAATGCGAGTTACATTTTTCAGGTTTTCGGATCTTTTGAGATGATATTTTATATCTAATTAATATTTTCATCATCATTATACTCTACTGAAAATTACGTCTAAATACTAGAGAAAACTTTGAATACAGATTTTTCTTTCCAAATGTGAGTTGAAATTCCTATGTCATAGGTACTAGGGCCTTAGCAAAGATAATAATTTAAAAGACGACAAAGAGAAAAAAACGATGATGAAGAAAACAAAAAAAATATATAGCTACGTAATTATGACACATTTAATTCATACGGCCAAAATAGTGTATAGATCTCAGAGAAGCTTTGGTAAAACTATCACAATAAATTACTTTATTATTAGTATACGATCTCTTGAATTATGGTAATGTTCCATTTGAAAAGTAAGTATTAGCTACTAATTAATTTTCAGGTCAGAAAAGGCGTATTTTTATATCGGACCGTGAAAAAACAAAACAGCCACCATGGACGCGATCAAGAAGAAGATGCAGGCGATGAAGCTGGAGAAGGACAATGCCATGGACAAGGCAGACACCTGCGAACAGCAGGCCAGGGATGCCAACCTCCGCGCTGAAAAGGTAAAAGAACAGGGTTAGACAGGGGATAGCGGTAGGCATTCCAAATAAGAGTAGACGTCGTTGTTTGTAGCTAGCACATTATATAGTATCTAATTTTTTGCGACCATAGAGCATTATGCTCTGAAAGGTACAGACTAAGTATAATTACCAATAAATATGTTTTTTTAATCGGTACGGAATTAATAAAGTAAATATACCTTTTGTTTTGATTTAATATAATTCCATAGGATGTCTAATTCGTCAAAATTTTATTACAATCGTATTTGACAGAATAGTTTATTTCTAATGTTGGCTGAAACGGCTAAACCATTTCTAATGGACTTACTTTATAAGCAGTACCTATTTCTAGCATAGGATGTAAAGCTTACACGCCTTTGAAGGATATCCTTATGTATTTGTTCAAATCACATATGTGATTTGAACAAATACATAACAATCGGATTTATAATATCAACATACCCCCCCAGGTCAACGAGGAAGTCCGTGAGCTCCAAAAGAAGCTCGCTCAAGTTGAAGAGGACCTGTCTCTCAACAAGAACAAGCTCGAGCAGGCCAACAAAGACTTGGAAGAGAAGGAGAAGCAGCTCACCGCGACTGAGGCGGAGGTGGCAGCCCTCAACAGGAAGGTGCAGCAAATTGAGGAGGACCTTGAAAAGTCTGAGGAGAGGTCTGGCACCGCACAGCAGAAACTTCTAGAAGCCCAGCAGTCCGCTGACGAGAACAACCGGTAAGAGCTGGGATCAAATCAAATCAAGTATGAATTTGGTAACGCAATCTCACACACATACATTAAAGTTTAATGCTTTATATGGCGTTAAACGCTAGATCTAAATTTAATTTACCAGTTTAGCTGTGGTTTATAGGCTTGCTTAAATGTATTAAACGAGTTTTTTTATGCTGGAGGAGGACAGACAATCATGAGGTTGACGGAAAGTAAAATACCCCAACTAAGTTCTTTAAAAAAAAGATGCGTTATCTATCTAATATTAGCTTTGAATATTTGGAACAACAAATCACCTAAAATTGTAAATATGCTATTCCAGTATGTGCAAAGTATTGGAGAACAGATCACAGCAAGATGAGGAGCGCATGGACCAACTCACCAACCAACTGAAGGAGGCCCGTCTCCTCGCTGAGGATGCTGACGGAAAATCTGATGAGGTTATATTTATATAACACAACTAAAAATAATTGGAATATTTAAACAACGCAGTTTTGAAGAATTACGCACTTAAAAACTGCCCAATAAGCTGACAGTGTTGTTCAAATTCCAATATCGATTATGTTACTCACGGTTCATGTTTTCAAGAAACCTTCGACTAATCGGTAACTTTCCATATAATATTCAGGTGTCCCGCAAGCTGGCCTTCGTTGAAGACGAGCTTGAAGTTGCTGAAGACCGTGTCAAGTCAGGAGACGCCAAAATTTCAGAACTAGAAGAAGAATTAAAGGTTTGGATTATACCTAAAACTTTTTTAGTTATTAATCATTAAATTTTGTGATTTTGAACAGTTACTAAGCTTTTTGATAATGAGACGACTTAAACTTTCCATACTTTTTATATGACCATATCCTTCTGTCAGTTCGTATACGTCTTGCAAACATGGTTCATCGGAAGTAATTACTTTCACAACACAGGTCGTAGGTAACTCCCTTAAATCACTGGAGGTCTCGGAAGAGAAGGCCAACCAGCGTGTAGAGGAATTCAAAAAGCAATTGAAGACCCTCACCATCAAGCTGAAGGAGGCTGAGGCCCGCGCCGAATACGCCGAAAAGACTGTCAAGAAACTGCAAAAGGAGGTCGACAGGCTCGAAGGTACTTTAATTTATATTTATAACATCATAAATAATAAAATAACTTTAATCGTAATCTCAAACTTAAATCATTCTTCAAAATTTATTAAGTTAACTAACACTGAATGTGATCAATAAATAATAAGTACTTTTTTTTCAGAAATTCTTTCCTAATCTTAAAAATTAATAGTATTATCAAATCCACCGTCATTTATTTAAATGATAACAAAGTATAAAAGTCGATTGTCCGAGACGTCTTAATTCGTCACAAGCTGTCTAATAACAAAATTTTCCAGACTCTTTGTTCAACGAGAAGGAGAAATACAAGGCGATATGCGATGACCTGGACGGCACATTCGCAGAGCTCACAGGATACTAACTTCCCTTAGCACTTAGTTTAAGACAGTACCGTCCATATAGAACCACTGTCATCATTCTAGAAAGTTTAGGAAACCTATCAAAATTTATGCCACCTGAATGTTCAATTTCTAGTCAATTTTGGGAAGCCGTAGTGTTAACGCCTAGACTATTCTCCCTAATTCTAACATCTTCATTTTGTTTATAGGATTGTCTTATTTTATTTCGTTAGATTAACTTTAAGCGCTTGACAATCCTATAAATATAACTTATCATCTATAAACCTTGCTTTTTCTGTTGTGACTAATCCGTCTTATGCTTTGCTGCTACCGACGTGGAAAATGCTTCGAAGGTACTTAATTCTTTAATCTGTTAAAATAAAGATGTAAATCTTTAAAACATCACGTTCATATATAAAATATACTTAAAACTGAAATTTAAATTTAACAATATTAATCATCATTTTTTTCAACAGCGTCTTTCAAATTTTCTTTCTATTGCAATCTTTTTTTCAACTAATTGAAAATTTGTATTTTTAGATTCCCTGGTTTCTTAATAGTTTTTACAGGTGGCTAAAGTTTTATTGAAGTTTATATCAGTAACTAAATCAATCTAGATTAGAAGATACATTAGAGGTACAAAGATGTACTGTCTTTTCTCAAACTAATTTTATATTTCCCTCTAGATGAGCTCGGCATCAACAAGGACAGATACAAGAGCTTGGCTGATGAAATGGACTCCACCTTCGCCGAACTTGCCGGATACTAGACCACAATATGCTCCATCACAGCGTAACACCTGGGCTGCGATAATACGAACTCTTTCGTGATGTAATTTATTAATATTTATGTAAATTTATTTACGATTTTCAATAAAATAATTTGTAACATCTCATTTATCTATTTTTTTAATCGACCTACGAAATATTTATTTGTTCAGGTTTTATTAAAGAAATAGTATATTGGCTAAATTTATTGATTTATTAATAGTCGAGTAAATAATTAATTAATAGTAATTTTATATAGTTTTTGTAACTTTTCGTTAAGTCAAAATAGAGCACATTTCCCTTCGCAGCAATTTATGCCCTTAATAACGACTTCACCTAACCTATATCTTACGCCACCAATTATAGTTGCGGAAAACTCCATTATTCCTTAATAAGAATAATAAAAGATCCCCCGGGCATAGAAATTCCAGACGTCATTGAAACCGTGAATGAACCGGAAGCGTCCCTTGTCACATGTCAAACGACGTACATCCGTTTCAAGATGGCGGGCGCATGCGCTCAACAGAGGGTTATACGCTTGCGCTACCCTCCGTTCCCGTAATCAATAGTGCAATACAACAGCCTGTTGGGTCGCACTTATTTTCGCGTTTCGTTATCTACACGGGATATTTTTTTGACGAATCGTCGCTCAACGTATTCAAAGTGTCGGTTTCAAGTAGTGTCCTTCCGGGGGCTATCACAATGAAGATTCTAGCAGCCGAAGGTCCTGATATTACGCCGATAGAATCCCGTAAGTAGTCAATCTAAAATCTTTATAAACCAAACAAAAGAGAGTTAAAGATTAAAATAAAAACCATATAATATTCTTAATGCGTGTTTTAAATATCCACGATATTGCAACCATAAAGTCGTATCTTTGTCAGTGAAAAAATGATGCGCAATTTGACATTCCCTATAATTGTCCTATACGCGTATGTATTATTAGGATCAATATCGCACTCCGTGGGTAAAGAGGAATTAAGCTATAGTTAAAAAGAATAATTACATAAAAACCTAAAACTTATAATCCCCTTACTAAAGTTCCTTTTCAAAATAAACATTTTTTACAAGCATATAGTTATTGTTAACCAAAAATTACGTTTCGTTTTGTTATTTAACAGATATCATTATTTCTTTTTTTAAAAAGGCGACGTTATTTCATATTACATTCTAGTCTAAAACTAGTTGTTTTATCGGTCGAAAGTCGCTTATTTTTTACACTTATTGTGTTGCTGATTATCAATTTAATGTTTAATTAAATGGCTAATAATAATAATAAAGCTGAGTTAGCTTTTTAAATCTATAATTGAATCAATTAGTACCTGTTAATTAATTTATCGATGTTGTGATACAAAATCTCTGTTGCGTCATATTACTAAAGAAAGCCTATTTAGCGTGACTCATTGGTAATCGATACTCATTGTTTCATTGACTAAGGTTTCCAGGCTTTGTTCGCTAATATGTTTTCATAAGCATACAAAAAAAAATAACTACGTAATAAAACAGTAGCCACTTATATGAAAACAATGGTTGCGCTTATTCTTCATCATATTTAGAACCAGAAATACGTTGTTTGAATAAAATCGGTCTAGAAAATAAGTTTTTCAGCTTTATTTGACCTTTTTGGGCAAGGACCCAATTACAATCTGGCATGAGACAAATGGTACGTTTGGTTTTTGTACTTACATGGAGCTAATTAGGCTTTATCACAATTTTTCCTACAATAGTACTCAATGCTTTACTCTTACGGTCATGACAAATACAAATATTTTTATTTAGCTTCAAAATTGAACAGTAAGGAGGAAACGGTAGTGGAGCGAGTCTTGCCTTCAAGTTGAGACGATATGTGGATACAATTTGGCTAAAAGATTATTCAAAATACTGGAAATTCAAAAGGGGGCCTTCAAAATATGTTGAAAATATAACAAGGTTTAATTATGGCTCTAATCTAGAAAGTTTCATCTAGGAAGTGTTCTAACATTTAATCTATTTATAATAGCTTATAATCAAACAAAAACTGCTTGAGAAGGGTTATTATCACGTTAAGCAATATTTAAATGAAAAAATGCTTGGGGTCTGGAACCCGCTCTTACAAGGAAAAATATGTAGTGCACTAAAAGTAAATCAAGAATGTAAAATAAAACTTGGCGATAAAAGGAGTGACAGCGAGTTTATTGCCAGTTCTTCTCGTTTGTTCTACGCCCTTGATTTCAGAACTGGTATTAAATGTGAAGTCAGATTCTTTAGTTTTGTGACGTTCATAAGTGTACATAGTTACCTACATGAATAAATGATTTTTGACTTTGACTCAGTTTCAGGATTGTCGTTAAAATTAACAAATGAGTCGAAAACAAGTTAAATTATAAGAAAACGTAAGAGCCATACCGAAGATTTTTTATAATCCTACAAGGAACACATGTATTTTCATTCTATTATATTATGGTTACCAGACGTTATCGTGTTAAATAAAATACTGTTAACTTCCTATCGCGCTTAACTATACAATTTAATAGACCGTTTTAATAAAAAATCATCTTTTATCTTCATATAAAATAAGTTTAGCAATAGCCTTGGTGATATAGAAATAGTGACAGATTAGAAAAAAATCTGCTTGTAAAAACACGCAGATCTAAATAAAGTTAACGTAAGTAATATTCAATCAATTTAAGCCCAGCTTGGGGCAACATATGGTCAATATAAAAGATTTGTTTCATAAAAATCATATGTCAAAAAAAAGTGACAGTCGTTTCAAATATTTTCAATAATTACATAATGTCTATCTGGCGTGTACTCTTTACCACAGATACAAAATGTCTTTACATTTAAGCTACAATTTATTTTGAAATGGTTTATTTTTTAAAGTATTCTTTTCCAGTAGAAGCAGTCACGGGTGAAAGCTAGTGGAAAATAACACAACCGTTTTTATCGTAAACTTTTTGGGTCGTATTTACAATCCGAAGTGGGATGAAACTCTTCAGAACGAGCTTTTGAGTCCGCAACCGCGCAAGCCTTCGAGCCATTCAAAATACCCTCTGTATATTTTATATTATAAAACTTTCCAACGTAATATCTCATTTTCTCTGTACGGCCTCTTTAATTCACGAGTACTTACTATTTTTAATATCCTCCGCGGGCTTGTAGATACATGTTTTTGTTTGCAGACCCAATTCTTTTTAATTAGGCTTTGTACGTCTCAGTTTAGCTTTGGAACATCTTTGAAAAAGGTTTTCAAACCATACTTTTACAATTAAGGGCACTCATAAATTTTTCTGAAGAGACATAAATACGCCTCAGAGTAAGACTAATTTCGTGTTAGAATTTGGAATTGTTTTTATTAAAATTAAAATTCAAATAATGTAATCTACACCATATACAAACAGAAATTATACAATTACAATAATAACATACATTAACTTTGCTGTGGAAGGACATCAATCAGCTGTTGCTGCAACAATAGATTTGTCACAGCGCCGATTTTGAGCGATGCCTCATGGATGACATTAGAGTGACAGCCACAAATAATTAGGAATCTAATAAGGTGGAAATGCAAGTATTAATTTATAACTGCTATAAAACAAAAATAAAATAAAATTGTATCTCTATAGAATCATATATAAATCTTTCGTAATTTAAAAAACTTCACGTGACAAGGAAAAAAAGATCGCTGTATACAAACATACAAACTAATCTGTCTGACACGCGACCCACCGCAGAAACCAGGAATTCCGGAATCACTTCTTTTTAATTATCAATGCCCTGTCAGCGTTAACTTGACACCGCGTTACTTTACCTCGCTATTGAGACGACCGTTGACCTAAACGCATCAAACTTGAAAGGTTTCGTTAATCCCGTCCCTGGTTTATTGTCAATGACATGTTAAAAAGAAAGCTATTCGCAAACTTTACTTGTATAATAAGCAACTACACTGAACAGACTTCTTAAAAGATTTCAAAAAGTAACATTTTAAAATACGTTATTAGGCCTGCGACAGGCAGAACGAAGTCTAGTAGCTAGCATATAATATACAATTATTACATATTTATAAATTAACGTTACAGATCATAAATGATTCGCATTTTAGTATATGGCATTTCCTATATAGATTATTCTTTTTTCCAACACTCTAAGGCTTTATTTAAGTAAAGCGATAATTTTATTTTAAAATTTGTAGTTATTACCGTAAACGAAAGGTGCTGTTTTTTTATTATTATCATCAGCCCTTTTACAGCTGTGACTGGCACACAGATATTTTATAAAACAGTTTTTATCAACAACGGTATCAAATGATGCAATATCCAGATGTCAAAAGTCTTCGACTTTTGGTGCACGTTTTCTACACATAAAAAGCACGGTGTCAAAATATACAAAGATAATTTTGTTTAACGACCATGATCACGAATAGATATGAATACACTACTAGACTTACAGCGGTTTATACTAAAAAGTATTCTTAGTTTTCAATATACAATATTGATTTAAAATTTAAATAGTAATTCAACGTAAATTATCTACGATTCTACGCCCATTACACATCGTAATAAGTGATCTCTTTGTGTATTTATTTTTCTCATTTACAAGAATCAACTTAATTAAAAAACCTTTAAATAAAACACTTAAACAGGTTTAAAACGCGTCATATATTGATTAAACTTATTAGAACATTATTTCAACTACGGCCCTACGTTTCGGATGCTTTGCAGCATAGACTGAACGTCGGGCCTTAGCTTAAAAAAATCAAATAAGTTTAACTAACGTTTTAAAGCGTCAAAATGTTTTATTTAAATGTGCTCTACTCGCATAAATTACAGACAGTATTTAATTTAAAACCTTTTAAAAATATTCGAAGCAAAGCACTAATTCGAGTTTCGACGTTTCGTATTTGCCTTCTATTAAATAAAACAAAACAGCGTATTTCAATCAAATGTTAAGAGCTCAAAGCGAGGCTGTGGTTTAATTAGTGGTTGTATTTGTGTTTGAAACTAATTTGTTGAAACGATTGATTAAGGTTTTATTTCAATTGCTAATTGGATCTTTGTAAAATAAAATAGATCCTTAAATTCATAACGGATTTAATACTTTTGGTTAGATTTTTTAAACTAAGCAGTTATCTTTTCGTTATTTAAAGGAAGATTTCTTCAAGCCTTGCAAAGTTATTAGATGTATCTTTAAAATAAACTACTTATGAAACGCGAAATGTGGACTTCGTACTTTAAAATTTACAATTTAATTTAACTACGTTACGACGCGTCATTACTTTTTTAAATTAAGTTAATAGTGTTAAACGCTCTGTAAGAGAGACGGAATTTAACAAACTTTTTCACTTTTCAATAAAGAGAGTAGTGCATACCTAGTTCAAACAAATAATTGGCACAAGTATACCTATGTATTGATGAAAGTTAGTCTTTTAGTTAAATTGTTTTATGTAATGTGTTTCACTAATTTTAAAGATAAAACATAAATAAAATTATTCTGTCACAACATCTTTTATCAAAATACTTTATCTGAGAGGACTGCTTGACGTCTAGACGTTCAGAAAAACATTTCAAGGCGAACTAATAATAATGTATTTTCACTATAGTCTATAGCTGACTGTTTGAAGATAGTTTGACCTCACTTTTCACCCCATCTGTTCTCGAGTCTTCTTCAGCCAAGAGTCCATAATTAGGCTCTTACTTTGTTATCTCAAATGAATGCAATAACTTATATATAAGTGCATAACATAGTATATACTCGTAGTAATGTGCTGACGGACTTTACTCGGTGATAGCAATCTATTGATGTAGTCGATTCCCGGGTTCATGATATTTGTAACCGCGTTCTGATTTAGTTTTGACGATTCTTAAAGTGTTAATTCGGAATTCCGTTCTGCTTTCTGTTCAAAGTTAAAATAATACAGATGTCTTTATACTTTGTTAACATTTCAGTACTCTAAATGCTATATTACCATTTTAACGTTGTTCTGACAGGTTTTCAAATGAATGCAATGTACGGACACATCTATGTGTATACATTTACATCCATATGATAATAACAATCTAATTCTCAAAAATTGAGTCGGGCCGATTTGAAATAAGTAAGAGAATACAATAGTCTTTGTAGTAGATCATTGTTTTTTTTAAATGCTTTCTAAACACAATATCTTTGTAAATCTTACGATTATCGATTATGATATTACGAGATATCGTGTTTAGAAAGCACAGAGTCACTAAGTTTCTAGGGCTTATATATAGTTTACTCGTCAAGTTTTAAGTTAAAAAAAGGCTTTGTTATGAATTTAAGAGCAGTTTAAAACTAGGTCACCAATTTGTGCATAATGCGAAACGTTTTCTACATCGCTCGCTCATCTTTACTTTTTTCTTTTTAAAGATGAAAGCCTAGATCCGTTTTGTCACCCTTTGCGATATTTGCAGGCATTTATAAATAAGGGGATGTAAAAGTAGATCCCTTTATTTTCATCTTTTGCGAGGAGGATAAACACATGGCGAAGTGGTTTTTATAAAAGAGTATAAATAATCATGTTTTTTTTTGTATTCACTATATATAACAAGAGATCTCTAAAGATAACAAAAGATCGGTTAAGTTATATTTCAAAAATTACTAAACACCTTATTTTTTCGTAGTTGCAATATCACTCAACTCATACAATTTCATTTTTTAAAATAAACGTTGTATTGATACGCCAAAAATAGAAAAGGGTTTATTTCACATACGAAATTTATCTTCACATACTCGTATTTTTTATGATTCAATTGTATTGAGAGAAAGAGATTGAAGCTTATTTAATCATTTTTAAAGTAACGGCAAGTATCTTAACCCTAAGTATACAATGGATTTTATACATTTCCCTCGCTTTTCGTAATACTATCATAACAAAGGATCTAGCAAGGCTTTGTTAAGATATCCAATGTTCGATAAGCGAAGAAAAGACCCTGAAAGTACGACACGCGTAGGACGTCATAACTTATTACATTATTCTCAGAACGCGACAGGGTTGAATTGATTTTGTGACGTAAAGGGATTGAGTAGGCTAACAGCAAATTATTGTGGGATTTTGTATTTCTAACAATACAGATAAAAAATTATCTTTAGATATATCTCAATCTCGACACTTAAAAAATGATTTCCCAAGAAATCATCTAAAAAATCATTGGATGATTATGAAATGGAGGGGCTCATTGGTGTAATGGGAGAAAGGTACGGCCAATGATCAACGGGTCGTGGTTTTAGTCCCCACCGGGTTCAACATTTTTCTAATTAAGTTAAAATATTTCCTAAACATGTCGGACTTCGCCTGGACACGTGGACATTCAATGGGTGGTAGGAATAGCGAAATAAAGAAAAAAAAGAAAAAGCTTAATCACGTTTCGGTTTCAGACTGTTTATTTGCAAATATCCAAAACGCAACTTGTTTAGATGCTATAGGCTTTTTTCACCTACCATCCTCTATCATTAAAAAAAAACTCAATCCACACATGAAAAATGACTACCTAAGAAATCACCAAACAGTCATTCGATGACTATAAAACATTATTATGAATCTTTCCTATGAATTTCATAAGAACAGCGGGTAAACTTCACTGTGTGTTAGTTGTTGATGGCTCTCCCGGACCGCCTACCTAGTGAAAAGCGTTGTATATTTTAACTAAGCCACTTTTATTACGCAGCGCCCTTAGCACTTCCACGTTTCTCGGTGGCATTTAGAGTGCTGACATTTATATACGAAATGTAAACACACCTGACCTATTCTTCAACAGAATATTTTATATTCTAAGAGTATCTTAATAAAATGTTTTTCTTCAAGTGCATTTATTCGTAGCAGTTGCTACGCAACGTCTACGAATTTTCGTAGAGGGCTCGACGTTTTTGATTAATTAAATTATTACTTTTGCGACAGTTCAGTAGTAATATCATCTATATTTAAAAAACAAGTTGTTTAAATTCGTTCAATGTCAAGGTAACCTATACTAACAAAAAATAGAGATAAAAAAAATTTAAAAAAAGCTAAAGAGTTTGTTTGAACGCGCTATTAGGAACTACTGGTTCGAATTGAGAAATTATTTTGTGTTAGTTTGAGCATTTATCGAGGCAGGTTATAGGCTAACATTGCAATGTGTATAAGCAGGAGCGAAGAAATAGCGGGAAATATGGAGAAAACGGGGCAAACTATTAATGTTTGTGGTTCAAGATACCCAAAAAATATGTATGAAAGAATGATTTCTTTTTAAATGATCTAAAAACATTTCCGGGAGACTATATGTCTATCTTTTAAGATGAACTTATAGGAACGTCGTGGGTAGTAGTTTAAACTTATAAAGAGGTCTGCAAAACAAATTTGGATGCCCAAAATAACTATTGTACGCGGAGGAAGTCGCTGACACAGCTAGTATTGTATAAAAAATAACCTCATCTCTTAAAGTTCACTTGCAGCCCTAATTTCTATCTGACTGTGAACTCGATTAACTATTTTTTATCTCGTCTCTAAATATTTAAAAAACCCTAAGTACCCTTATAAGAACAGTAGTCTTGGGACCTTTGCAACCCTATTTCTCACAAAGGCCATAATATTAAGGTTATGAATTCAATGTCATCTCTATCCTGCGGTTGGCTTTGTTACCAAGTTTATTCATTGCATGAGTTTGGATAAGCTACCTTTTGAATGTCTTTGGGTTTCGTAATTCCTTTCTGAGTGGAAAATTCTGTTTATATTTTTCGTATTACGACTATTTACAAGAATATCATTTTTCTTGACATAATTCCTCAACTGTGAAATGAGTCGACTTATTATTAGTAAATGAAATTTAAAAGAAAATATCGGGATTACCTAAATTCATAATTGCCAAATTTCAAGTACTTACAGTCTCTTAGTGACTAAAATAAACCTAAAAATAAGTTTTCCACTCCGTCTCTGAATTTTCATAGCTTACCTTTAAAAGTCTTACTCCATATTTTTTTCATTTTCACGAACTAAATTAAAAATCTATTTAAATTGATCTAACCCGGAACCCACAAATTTCTAATTTATATAAAGATACCATAGATTATATAAAATGCCCATGCATTATCAAATAAAAAATAATAAGGTTCTCAAATATCTATGAACTATTATCGGTTTTCCTTACCAATAACCATCAAATTCCAGAACATAAGACTAAAAGGATATAGGAAGCGCGGAATGTTTGACATTGGCTGGTTTATTGGAAAACGAACCGCGTCTTGACATGCCTAGGTAATGAAGGCTATATTCACATGTAGTTTATGTAGCCTTTCGCCTCGGCGTTTTCTCAAACATATGTAGGTCGCCTTTAAAATGCTCCACAATGGTATGTTTTTAAATAAACTGGGTTTAGTGCTTCATTTGACGGGCTTTGACGGGCCGTGGGTCCAACTTGTTACAAATAATATTTCACCACCCATCAAGTGAACCCCTTGCTGGTCTGTCCTCCCCCCCCCCAAAAAAAAACCGACAAAGTTAATGAAAATGAATATACTTTTTCCCTGAATTCTATTTTGAATCGTAAAGTTCTACAACCTCTCTACAACTTTTTAGCTGGTGAATGGCACAGCGCAACATTTTGGGTGCTGGTGGTTGGTGCAGCGTTACTCGCTGTCGTCCTTGCTGCTGTGGCCTGCTGGGTGGCCCGAAGACGGTCATCGCTTGCTCATAAACTTGGTAAGGCGATTTTGTAAATAAAAAAAAAATATATATATATATAAGAGTACCATAATATTTTTGTGTGTCATAGATTTTTCCAATCTTTGTCATAAATATCTCATATTGATATTTTTTTCTTAGGAGGCAAGCGTGGACCAGATAAGGCGTTGGTCTTCCAGCCCCCACGTCGTGCGACAGCCGTTCGTTCCCCCGGTTCTGCCACACATTATTTGCGCAAGTCTCCGTCACCGACCACCGCTGCTCCTCAACAGCCTACATCACCGCCACGGCCGCAGACACCTAACCCGGTAAGTACAAGAAATACAGCAATTCATATATAATATCTATAATAATAGTTTATATATAGGTCAAAATATCTATTGGATATGTATTAGTTATATTTTTTAATACGGCTGCATGTACGTCTGGTGGAAATAATAAATATACAGATACAATTATGTCAATTGTCAATCTAGCTGACACTATTCTCTAGTAGAATTAACAAAAAGCGTATATTTTATTTTTAAACTGGCTGTGTCGGCGACTTCGTCAGCGTAGAATAATTAGTTTTGGCATCCTAATTGCATGATTCTTAAATTCAAACCAGCAATTCCTGAGATAAGCGCGTTCAAACAAATAAACAAACTATCACCTTTATATATTAGTATAAGTAATTGTCATACTTTCTAGAACGATGAATTCAAACATTACATCGTTGATTATTCTGTGTTCGTAAAATTAACCGCAATTTTGGGGTGGCAACGTAATAGTTTATTAATTTCCTTTGTCAGCCATCTGGAGCGACTACTCCTCATACCCCGACTGCTCCAAACGAGCCAACTCCCCTCAGCAAGGAGTTAGCTGATGTCCATGCCACTGAGAAGATCAAGCCTATTGAACCGGAGACCAATGATGGGAAACTGGGTGATTTGCACTTTAAACTACGGTATGTATTTATTAAATTTTATTTTTATCTCAATTAATTTATAATGTAAATATAGAAATGAAATAGTTGGCAATTAATATTTTATTAATTCATATTAAAATTAAATCATATATTCCATACACAGAAAAATATATAATAAAATAGATGTATGTGGTGCCTCCACTCTTCAGTAATGTCCCACGCTTGACAGTTGATGTAGATCAGTACATAAACAAAATATAACATAAAATGTTTAAACAATTAATAAAAACCTACAATTAATAGAGGCTAAAAACTAGTCAAATGAAATATCGTATCATAGTTACCTGGAATATATTATGAAAGTGGTTTAAAAGCAATTAGAGGCGCTATACATAACATCCGTAGTAGATAACAGAGCACAAATCAATACTGGTGCCTCCCCACGTGCTACCCACTCCATTATAGGGGGATTACACGTGCAAATAGGTGCTCTGTCAAATATCGAATTTAGATTTACTCACTGCGCCGCCCGCCTACATTCATGTTTGACATTGTTATTCGTGTCGACTGCTCTTATTCTTTCTAACTTATCTTAATAACAATAATATTTAAGTCATTCACATATAATTTATTGAATAGTGGTAGCTAGACATTGGATTAGTACACATTATAGTACTTCTTAATCTTTTTATTATGGTAGGTAAAATACACCAGCCATAGAACCTAAGAAGAAACCTAAACGAGATGTGCTGTCGCCCTATATTGGTTTCGGATATTCGAAAATTCACATGTTGAAACTGAAACTCGATTAAACTTGACGGCTTTTTCATCTGAAGACGGTGGTTCGTGACTCGGACGGAATTTCGACATTCCTACCACCCACTTAATGTCCATGCTTGCAGAGCTGAATGTTTCAGAAACAATATAAACTGATTAAATGATTAACCCAGTGGGGATCAAACCCACGACTCGTTTATTAGCCACTCACAATTTGCTACCATTACACAAAGGAACCCATCAAGCTATATTGAATTTAATGAATATTGTTAAAAAATAAACCAAATATTTAAAAGCTATTTCGCTAAACTCTACTTAACTATTATTTAATATAGCTGAACTAAGCTCTTATTCACATTAAAAAAGTATAAATTAATATTTATAATAAAATAATTAAGGAACCTAATTATAACAAAAATTATACGTTTAAATCGAAAAACTACTCACGTAGTGTATAAAATAACAACCACAAATTTGAGTTAAAAAATTATTTGTACTATGCCAAAATAAAAAACAAAATTATCACGAAAATTAGGTATGAGATCCTACGAGTGATTTGCTAGATGACACAATTTATGGGCGAATTACGTTCAAAGTCGAGGTCGTAAAGTGACTGTTTTATGACCGCAGGACCTTCTGAAGGTCATTAATACTCTTTATGACTATTTACGATACATCTGACGATAGCGTTTTGCAGGCCGTTTTATTTATTTCGTGTTGTTCGTAGAATATTGATCAAAGAATAATATTTGATCGTTTACGGTCTCGTAAACATGACATGAAATATATTCTAGTTCTTTTTAAGTTAATTTTCGTTTTATTTTAATATAAACTAATACCAATATTTTTAAGTTATTATGTCTCTCATCATATTATGTGATAATGTTATGTAATGAAAATTACATTTCGTTTGTAAAAAGTCATATTAATGCTGTATTCTGTTCTATATTACTAATAAGTACATATTTTATAATATTTTCTTTTCTTCACCACTTTTTTAAGCTCTAACAAATTCGACTGTTTTTTTCATATAGGAAAATCTTTGGTACCATAAACGCCATTACTATTCCGTTACTTTAGATATGAGAACGAGAAGAGCGCACTGGTGGTATCAGTCGTGTCTTGCCAGAATCTCCCTGGACGTGAGCCTGCCGGTCCAGACCCTTATGTCAAGTTGCAGCTCCTACCTGATAAACAGCACAAAGTTAAAACCAGGTGAGATAACTATGATGTATATAGAATGCTTTGTTTTGAACAAATGTTTAGGATTAAACATTTTACTTTCTTGACATTTGAAAGATTATATTCAAATGTTATTCTGTAATAATAATAAAAATAAGCTTCTTAACCAATCCACAGAGTCGTTCGCAAGACCCGTTGCCCGGTGTACGACGAAGACTTCACATTCTACGGCATCGCTCCCCACCAGCTCACTGGAATCACTCTGCACTTCGTAGTGCTTAGCTTTGACAGGTAAAGTTTAGAAAACAATAAGAGTTACTGTGAGTTAGTTTTCATTTTTTATAAGCAATATAAGATCCTTTTTAATAACTAGCTGATCCGGCAAACGTTGTTTTGCCATATAAATAATTTCATCTACTGAATTGTAGCTTATCTGACACGTTTGTCGGTTTACCATAGCAGTGCCATCTATTGATTACTTACTCAATCCATTGTAACTGTCAATTATTTATAGACAAATAATTTGCAATAAAATGAAATTGCAACTACAATAAAGATCTAAACTATCCTATGTCTCAAGTAGGACCCGACTTCTCACGGTGTGCTAATTTAATTTAAAATCGGTTCAGTAGTTTAGGAGTCAATAGCGGACAAACATCGTGACAGGAGATTTATATATATAAAGATAAGGTACCGCGTCACCGTCTTTGTTAATCAAAATTCTCAATATAATTAAAATTTCAAACCTAAGATAAAAAATCTACTCTTAAGTCCTAAACTGTTATAATAATAATTAATTGTTTATCATGTTGCTAAATCATTAAATATTTATATTACAGATACTCCCGCGATGAAATAATTGGTGAGGTGGTATCTCCCCTGTCAAACCTTCAACTTCAAAGTGGCGAAGCGATGGCTCTATGCCGTGAGATACAGCCTCGAAGCTTGAAGGTACTTTATACTGTGACTCCAGTTATCGGTTTTAATAAACTCTTTGCGGCCTTTGTCAAGATATGGCTAATATTCGAACTTATTAGGTACACTCTATTTATTAAAACAAAGAAAAATCGTGTCGAACGACAGAAAATGGCCTATTTACCTAATTTACTATCTACTTCTACCTAGAGCAAACAAGTGCTAGTATGTAGTACTTCCATAAGATTTATTTGTTTCGGTATTATCTTTTCTCATTAGTCTAAAACATTACCAGTCATGTAAAATAACATCACAACAATCTAGACTTTAATCTGTTTTTATAACATATTTGCTCGTAAAGTGGTTGTAATTACACCAATTTCAATATCGTAATGTATCTCATTACGTACTTGTGCGATAATGTAATGTAAAAGGCACGTGCTTTTTTTTCTTAGCAAAGAGGTTTTTATGTCAAGAAAGTGGTCAATATTATATAAATAAAATTAACTTTGGGAAATAAAATATAACAAATAAACATTTAAATCATTAATTTAATTAATTTTGACAATGAATTACAACCATTTAAGCCCTCGCCGCTAGTAATATCGCCTCGGCTGTAATTTTCAACTTACCACACTTATATCATAATGTACTATAACATTATAGGAGCAGGATATCGAAAAACACTAATCAACATATTGTACAATTAACTTTCTTTTTTAGATGCGTAGTGTTGGTCGTGGTGAGGTGCTGGTTTCTCTTTGCTGGCAGCCAGCTGCAGCCCGACTCACTGTGGTGTTACTCAAGGCTCGTAATCTACCCAAGATGGACGTCACTGGTCTTGCTGATCCGTATGTATCTAAGAATAACTTATTACCGACTAACTTACACCATTTTTTTGTAGGATACCTATTTCTTAATTGCCTAATGTTTCTGTTTATCATTCTCAATTAATTAACAAGTCTTTATTATTTGATATTTGCCTTTTACAGTTACGTGAAAATGTACCTCCTCTATAACGGTCAGCGCATCGCTAAAAAGAAGACTCATGTAAAGAAACGCACTCTGAACCCAGTGTTCAACGAATCCTTCGTGTTCGAGGTACCAGCAGCTCCTAACGCGACCCTAGACCACGTTTCATTGGAACTGCTTGTGCTGGACTGGGACAGGGTCACCAAGAACGAGGTGAGGATTTCTTTGAATGATTTATCTGTCATATGCTATGTGCATCTTACTTTTATTTTCTATTTTCATTTTTAAAGGCTTATGAACTAAATACTTATATATACAATACGATATAATGTTTATACAAACTAGCACATAAGTACCTTACCGAATTCTACGTGTAGCATAAAATTTAGTTTGGTACAATTGAACCGTCTTTGATAATTAGCAATATATGAGAACAGATCTAGATTGTTGTTACATTTGACATTTGTTGTTGTAAGTTTCGAGAGCGAATTGAAAGAGCAGTTCAGACCATACTTACTTTTCGCCTGTTTTATGTCAATCGATAAATATAAGTATGTAATCATAGACTAATTTGTGACAAAATTCGAAGACTGTCAATATCAATATTTAGTAATTTGTGTGTGCAAACTAGTTGTGATTTGCCTCATCACTTTCCAATGATGTGATATTAAAAGTATGTACTCTAAACTTGATAGTTTTTAATATGGTATGAATGATTAATATAACTTCGTTAAATTAGATGCATATCATTGTTTTTCGGCCTGTTCGGGCGGTTCTCGACGTTTAGCCATCGCGAGCGTAAGGCATCATCAGGAGATGTTGTTAGCTCCTGGATTTCGCTCGAAGAATTATGTTATAATTCTTCGAGCAATCCGAAAGACAATAATATGTTGAACGAACGCAAGAAACCTTACACAATGTATTAAATTAAATGCAATTAAGATAATACCAAGAAATGATTTCATGGATTAATTCTTAAGAACTTTTTACGATTTTTTCCTTAATATACTTACATCATATTGTAGGTGATCGGTCGTGTGGAGCTTGGGGCCAATGGAACCGGGAGTGCTCGACACCACTGGCGCGAAGTACAGGCCGCACCGCGCCGGCAAATCGCTGATTGGCACAAACTCAAGGAGTGAACTCGGGCATCTTTACGTTAGTTACCCTTTTCTTTGGAAACCTTTTATCGCCATTTTCACATACCAAACAAGAAAGAAGAAGAAGATATATTTCTATGTTCTGTCACTTAAAGGCGAAGAAATGAAATTATATTTTCCTTTTAAATGGATATTATTCTCACGCAAGCAATATTTAGTTAAAATAGACTTCTATACTTTCGCGTCTAAACTTTCATGTGTGAATTAAATTTTTTTTAATTGTAGCTTTTAATCTTTACAGTTTTTACCGACTAAATTATGTTTAATATGAGTTTCTGTATTATATAAATTGACAGGTCAATGCGGGCGATACTTTTTTTTATCCATTTGCTTTTTTTTAAGCTCAGAATATATAAAGTCAGTTTTTTTCTGATTTAAACAGGTAAAAAAACATTTGTTTTGCGAAACGACTACGAATCGTATTTAGTATTCTAAATGATAAAAAATATGAATAGCTTTAATTTTCTTCAAAGCCTTTGTAAATAGCATTTGTTTCTTGACTATATTTTACTAACGATCTCATCATATACTTGTTGTTTTGTTTGTACACTTGCATTAACGTAAGAATAGAGTTAATATTGATGTTTATACGAAATTATCATGTAGTATTAAATCGGCCAAAATTCTCTTGTTTATTTCTTTGATTGCAACGAAATGAGAGAATTGTAATCTAAACTGTTTTCTTATATCAATATTGTTTAGAGTATAGTCAAATTTATTTCGACATCACCCTTAGCGATCCTGATTTTAGGACTTAATATTAAATAAGTACTTATTATAGATGTTTCTGTGTAAGCGCACATTGATCCCAGTTAGTGACGTCACAAAATTAATTAAAACGACGTAAGATTAAAAGCTAAACTTGAAGCGCTCTAGAAAATTGCTAATACTTGCATATGTATGTATACTGTCATTGTTTATTTAAAAGTATTATTTCATTAAGTGATATAGGATGATATGCGCGGCTAGGCTAATGTAGTAGTGGTGATCCTTAAAGCCCGCTAACCCACAGTGAAGTAGCGTGGTGGGTCTAAAATGTAATATTTCTTGTCTATGTGAAGGGACCTGTGAGTAGGTTAGGCTTGCAGCGAACTCGTAAGTAACACTGATGTGAACCGACTATTAGAACTTGAACTGTATTATTTGTATGTCTTTGTGCATTAATTAGACATCTCGGTGTGAAGTTAGCTGTAAAAAACTTTCATGTAAGTACCCATAGAGAGAATTACATTTGACACCGCATTTAAGATCAGTCGAGTCGTTCATATGCTGCGGTAGAACATTAAAAAATAATCATTCTATAAAGATTACGCGGCCATCTTGTAATACTACTATATAATTACATGTCAACGCGTATTATCCTATGTTAAAAATAGTAAATAATCGAAGCATATGTTTACAATAAGTAGCTATAAGAAATATCTGTCTGTCCGTTTAGTTGGAGTTTTGTTGATTTTAACTAATTCTCATCATAATACTCATCGTAAATTAAATATATAAATATAATACGGAAATCTATTTTATACTTATAGAGATATTAACGTAAGTTGAGCTCTTAAGAGCGTTGGTCACTCGTACCTTTATGTCTAGATCACAATAGAAGCTTCGCCATCGACCATCGTAGTTCATCCTATCTTTTAAAACTTCGAGTCTTAACTCGAAACTTTTTCCAACAGAGATGTGGTGTAAAAGTTAAGTATAGTAATAATTTATTTCATTCTGGTACAAAAGCATACCTCTTAAGTAAACAAGGGTTAAACCAAAAAAGGACGGAAGACAGTATAAATGATTAAAATCAATTCATTGACGTTCCCCTCCGATTGACGATGCTTCCCCCGAATTAAAGATAGATTTAAAGCACATTTAACTGTCTAAAACGGCATTTTTAAACACGATCCGATGTTACCACCATGTATATTTTAGAACCATTATGGTCAACCAACAATTAAATATTGTGTGGCGGGAAAGTATTAAGTTATTCTCTTACAACTGAGAAGATAAGAGATTCGCTTATTATTTACTTCTTTTTGCCTCACCTTTCGAGTCTAAGAAGTTTCGATATAAACCCAATAGATATAATCCGCACTTAAGTACCGTAATTTAGGATCACTTTGATTGATTTCTCATAACCATCACCTTACAACTTACCAGGCGTAACCAGTATTTTCACCATATTTATGTAGACAATAAATGAGAAATTTGGTTAATTCGCTACTTCGTAGGACAAGTTGTGTATATATTTCACTCTATACTGAGACATTCCAGTGTATATAGATTTTGATCTCATTCATAATTTTATTGTAATCGTAGCTTTAAGATGAATGTCGATACATTATAGATGTTTGGTTATTGTTCATTTTGTATTTACTGTAGTATGCAGCTGTAAACTTGCCTACTATGATATGCCAAGAACAATACAGGTAAACTCAAACTGTTTTGTATTTAAGAAACATCATTAAAATGGTGATTGTAGCCAGTGATGCCATCTTACGACCTTTGCAGACGATAAAAATTGTTTTTGATACAATTAACACCACCTCGAAACTCGAACCCACCTACAAATTGTCGCGGTGCTGTACTAATCGACCTCCCATGACACCATCTGTAGATATGGAATGTGGCAAACCTTTAATTTGTGGAATCTAATTTTGAAGTTGACACATTTATGGGTGCTTAAGTAATTTTATGTGCAGCCAGTTTTTGGCATATCATAGCTTTCATGTGAAAACCTTAGGGTTTATCGCTCAGATATTGTTTATGGTATTCTACTTTAGCAACTGAATAGATTTGAATATCTTATTTTTATGAAGTTTCTAATATAATAAATCTTTCATATTTTTGATATTGTATCCGTTTTAAGCACTTCCTTAGTTTTCAATATAATTTTGTAAAATAGAGGAAATGTTGTCCTTTCGTTCTCTGGTTATTGTATTCTAATTAATCTTGTGATACATCCTAAGGTTACCAGAACAACCGGTCGTCCTGAATCAGTTTTGTATAAGAGATTTTAGTGAATAAATTATTGACTGGTGCTTTCACAATAATTGTTAGTTTTATTTTACACTTTTTACGTCCATTGCTTCATAAAAAACCTGCACTCTCTTTTTCCTGCGTTGTAACACCAACGAATACGCGTGTCTGGGTTTGTCTACCTTTAAAACTAACTGGATACTCGAGAAAGAGTGTTTACATCATGTTTTTAAAGACCAGGAGTTAAATATAATAAAGAAAGAACCAATAAATATAAACTGGTTCTATTTTAAATTAAATCACAAAAAAACTAAATAATCCAACTTTAATATTTAAATGACACATTTGATTGACTATTCAATCGGGCAGAGTCTCCCCTAAGGCAAGTTATCGGCACAACAAAACTCGTCGAAATTTGGCGCGGACGAACTTATATAGACTTGTCCCCACTACTTCTTATCCCCTCTTTGATGACATGATCGCGGTATTGCTGTAAAATAAAAAAAATATTAAGGATGAGCTAATTAAATTGACTTCTAGTAGTAGAGTGAAAAGCAGGAAATAAGGAGGGATATATTTCTTGTAATATTCATAAGTAATAAAAAACAAAAATCTTCATCAAGTGTATATTTGATATCAAATCTTACATACCGTTTTTAACTTACGAGTTTACAGGGCCAGTTCAGTTTAATAATTTAATTATTGAGATCCGTCTTGCAGTGGCCCTTTCATTCATGTTCATTTAGTGCTCTGTGATAATTTTAAAAGGAAAGTCAGTGCTATTGGTCGGTACTACAAAAACAATGGCTTACTAAGACAGTAAGGATCGCACATTAGATCAGTTGATCAGCAAATCTTCGCCCCATACCCCAAATAGAAATACAAGTTACACAGCGTCACTTATGTACCGACCATTTTTTACAGAACTGTAATTTTTATGACGTGTTTGGGTACGACCTAACTTACGATTATAAATACGACAAGAACGTTGCAATGTAGCGACATAACCTAACATTTATTGCTATTTTAATCTATGCATACAAATGCAATTTTTAACCGCATTAAAGTTTTATATGGATATGACATAATAACTGCTTAATAAGATATAATGGTACATTACAATATAATAACTCATACTCCAGTTTGAAGCGAAATAGGGAAAAAATGTACTGTGTCGTACTTTTGTTCATATGATAACTATGAAACACAAATAGTTCTTAATAAAACCAGTTGTCATGGTTACTGAAATAAATCAATTACAGATTCACCAAACCGAGTTAATAGAGTATTGTCTTAACAAACACACACAACTGTCAATTGTCAAACGAGTGATAATTTTCTTTTCCCTATTAACCGATTACGGTGATTAGCCTTAATAAACTTAGAAGTAAATTAATAATTAATAAATTTCAGCAGCATCACGAGATCCTCCTTCGAGAATGTCCTTTCTGACATTAGGGGATATTCATGAAAGGCTTAAAAGTAATTTAACATCTATACAATACAATCTGTACAATATTGTCTTGCAAACCTTCAGGACGTCTTTGATATACTCTAGCTCTGTAGGAAAAGCTAAAACTTCATCAAAATAAATAAACATAATATAAATGTATACAGTCGTACAGTACGTAAATCAGTTTAAATAAAACAATTCAACGGTTTAAAACGCGATATGTATTAGTTACACTTGTTTGCAAATTATTTTTAACAACGGCTCGACGTTTCGGATGCTTTGCAGCAGCCGTGGTTACGGGGAGACTAAAGATAGAGGATATCTTTGACGTCAAAGTAAAAAACTGCTACGCTAGCGCCATTTGTTCCGTCGAAGTTGGTATTTGGCAAAACTGGCCGGTTCCTTGCAGAATTGAATTGCCCAAACGTCGGGCTGTAGTAAAAAATCATTTTCATACAAGTTTAACTGAAATATTGTAAAAGTGTTTTATTTAAATGTTTACTACTCGCGTAAACTACAGACAGTATGTAGTACTTAATAGTTATTATAATGGCAATACACAAAATGTAATAGTAATCAATAATTTTATATACGCAAAATAATAATCAAAAAAGTTAAAGCGAAAATTGACAGTTAACGTAAAATATTACATCTAGCAATAGTTATCCATACTATTAATAAATAAGTGATTTAATAGTAGACATTCTTGCATTACTTTCTAAGGGGCAAGCTTTGTGCAGTGTTGAGGCGAAACGCTAACTACCTACTATTGCTACAAAATTCGAGATATGATTTAATAACCAGATATGTTGTTAAAAAATGTTGGTCCAAGATTGTTTACAAATATCTATTTTATTGTTTTATATAATTCAAAAGTTTGATATCAAACTCTAAAGAATTATTCAATATCTGTCATTTTTAAACTGCTACGTCTGATCTCATTTAATGTTCATTAGGACAAAATCGTTTTCAATAAAAAGCAAAGTACAAGATAAAAGAAAACGTGTGTTGAATATCTGAAATTATCAATATTGTCATGGTACTCTCAGATGCATTATTCAGACAACTTACAATTAAGTATAACAATCATCCTGCATAATTATTATTTACAAGTATAAAAAATAACGAACATCAAAAACATTAGGCAAGCCTTACGATCGGTAAAAATAAATATGATTAAGAACTTTTCCTTACATACATTAAATGAGGCCTCGCATATCATTAATAAAATTGATAATTGTATATTAATGAGAGATGTGTATACTGTGTAAACTTCTTCGTTGGTCTAGTAACTAGTTAGTACACTGGCTTGCGAATCATGGTATGTTTGGTAGTTCGGAGTTCAAAAGTATACCGTGAGTCCCGGACGTCACCACTATTTAAGTGTATTTAGAGAGAAAGATTTATATGTTGAAATGGATAGTAAAACAACAGCCAGCGAAGAAGACAGCCAATCGAATGTATGTAAATTAGGTTTACGGCAAGATTAAATTTGCACATTAATTACACAAAAACCTCAATGTTATTTTAGAAGGTTACTTCACGTTACTACAAAAAGGCCGTTTAGCAAACGAAAAACTAATTTAATATAGATGAAGTCAGTTTGTCGTATTGCAAATTTGAGGCATTAAAATATTGGGCAAACTAATAATGCCAATAGTACGATGACAATAATTAAATTATGTATATATACAAGAATATATGTCATGTGCTTATACTTAAATGATAATTACATTATAACAAAAGAGTATGTTTGCCAGTCTCGGTGTTGCCGTTGAATAGAGAGCAAATTGGCAATAAAACGCATTAAAAATAACAATAATTAGAAAATTAATTAATACAATATCAAATAAAATACTATTCATTGATTTAAAGGGCGAAATTAAGCATTAGGTAACATTTTCATTAACTGTGACCAGATCACCTTTTAAACCGTTAAAAGTTTTTTTTAAATGTATTCCACTCTGGTAAATTACAGGCAATATTTAACTCCATTTGCATTATCACTCATGCTCACGTAAACTTACTTTTCTATAGAGACCACCAGAGGCGCTATAGGATACCTATATATTATGTCAATGTGTAAACAAAGTTCAACCCTAATTATTTAATACAGTGTACAAGATATGTTATTCTCTTAATCCCAAATCAAACTACAAAAACCTTTACAAACTCTTAAGAATACAATAGCAGAATAAAGAGGTTTTGTCTAGCAAGTACTGAGGCTGTTCTTCTTAAAAACGTTGATTTAAGATAGCACGGAATTAAAAACAAGATACATATCGATACACACGGAAAGAATTCCCTATAAGTACGGCAGTTGGTAGTCTACACACGCCTTAGAACCAAACACTGAGTAATACCAAGCTTTTCAAATTCTACATATGAGATTCACTCATGGATAAAAACTTTGAGCTCTCTCATTGAGCTTCAAAAGACCAAGCCATAGGACGGCACGAAGTTACCAAAGATAGTGTTTACAGCCAGCCTTTATCTAACTCTTTTCGTAGCATCCTGGTTAGTTTGAGGACTCCTTCGTCTATTTGACCTGCAAAGAGGGAATCTAGGAGGTCCCCTCGGGAGGCTAGCGCGAAGATACCAGCTAATCGCGAGACGGATTTGTCTGATAAGTGTCGCTCTACTACGGATCTGGAAAGATAACGTTTTCGTTTAGTGATCAAAACAACAAAGTATGTTATAACTTTTAATTATCAGACTTTAAGCTATAAGTCACAAAATAAATATAGCAGACTAAACTTACTTTAGAGATTGGTGTGAATCACGGAGGGCATCTTGAAGAAAACCTCTGTCATATGAGAATTCTACCTCCGAAAATGACACTACAGCCATTAACACCGTCTGAAATATCAAATACTCTCATATACTACCTGCTACCTTATAATAATAATAAAAATATGTATTTATGATACTTTTGATCTAGTAACAGTATTGATACAAATAATTAATCAGCGCCGAAGCTACATTGAGAACAATCGTGTAAAGGCTTCGTTAGGTTAATACAAAAATCAGTCCGGCTTGAAGGACCCAAACATTTGGATTTTTATAGCAACGTGATGTACAGACATTACCTTATTACAGGTTATTGGGCTTTATATCTAATATATCAAGCCCCGTCTCGAACAGATAAGACAGTCTTACGTGAAACTTGGAGCGAAAGGCGTCGAGAGCTCGATCGTCTGCCGGTGACAATTGGCCATGACGCCGTAGTACGCCCAGCTTCACAGCCGCTTTGATCACATGCTTCACCAGCTTTTCCGCTTCTCGTTTCTCGACACGTTCGCGGAGTACTGTTAGGAACTGAAATTGCAAGAATTTTGTGTTCAGCCAACTTTTAAAATTTTATTTAAATATATTTACTTAGCTACAAGATAATATTTGCAATATTTGGAATCGAAATTGAACTTAACGTATTAAATACAACGTTTCTATATATTTATACATCAATATACTGTTTCTGGTGTTTTTTCTATTACTTAGTAATATTGTTTTTGTACGACTGTCAATAGATTAAAACAGCGTTTATTATATACAATTTGATTTATCATAATAATCTTCGGCCCAAAGTAGGTCTCGATCTCCAAAACAAGAGAACGCCAGTTCGGTCTTTCCTCTGAGTGTGGAAACGTGTCGCCACTCGGAGACACCGAATTCGTTCAAGTCTCTTGGTCCAGTAAGAGGTCGGCGGCCATTCGGGATTCCGTGATATGCCTTCTTGACGCTTCGGAACATTATATCATAGTAGCTCAATTCTAATCTAGCGTACCTGGTCGAGGAGTTTAGCGGCATGCTCGTCCAGTACTAGGGAACGTGCGCTAGCAGCTCCCCCCACACGCGAGAGAAACTTCTTCTGCGCGCGCAATGATATGTCGCGGGCGCACCACGCGCCGCCGTCCATTGCTGCAACAAAAAAATGAACATTACCATAAATCCCTCACTCGGGTGAGCATCCAGCTTTTGGTAAAGCTGCAAACACGACAGACTAAACATCCGTATAGTATTAGCCGCCTCCAAGTTTACTAGGCGCATTCCATAAAAAAAACATCAGTAAACTTGACAATTGTCAGCAAGAGTTTTATGTTAGGACGAAGATTCTAAAGTAGTATAGGAATGACTTTTCTTAACTTATAATTGCTATAATTCCGTGTACAAATCTGATCTGATGATTATATAAGAAAAAATGTATGTAGTTACTTCTCATTCGCGTATTTTATTTACTAAAGTTTTTAACCCTCTTTTCAGTCTTAAAATAAGCACAGAAGAACATCCAGATGGGTCAAGTCGACAAAAACAGTGCAGCGTTAATTAGCTAAATATAGCTTAATTACATCAATTGATGTTAATTACTAAAACATGCCCAAGGTCTGCCGGTGATTCATTTCTAACGGAACCAGAAGATAAGACCACAAAGTAGCAATGTATTCGAAATAATGCCAAACAAGTTCGACTATTAAAGAAATATTATATGGGGGAATTTTAACTTTAAGGATTTTAAATTAGTAATTTGATTTTAATTACATTTGAATAAACTTTTAATCTTAAAAAAAAAAACAAACAAAAAAAAAAAAAAAAAAAAAAAAAAAAAAAAAAAAAAAAAAAAAAAAAAAAAAAAAATTACACTAACCAATTGAAATACTGAGTCCTGGAGCAACAGCACGGGATGGTGACGATGCCTGTTCAAGCCCTGCTCGAGTCGAAATTTTTTTCATTTCATTTTCGATTTTTAATCTAGAGGTGTTCTTAATTGCACAAATTGATAGAATATAATAAACAACGTATCTACTAACGGGTCTACATAACCTATTATAATAATTTGACCTAGGTATTTCAAGAAGGTCGCATTAAGGCCATTAGCGAAATTAAAGCGCAAAAAATATCGACTAAACCCTACCCCTGGAAAGTGATGAGTCAGCTTCCGTTTACAATATTCTGGAGGTAGATAGCCTGATATTACCATATCGCGTGCCAAAACGACCTTCGGTACTGCCTAAAGACATCAATGTCAAGAACTTAGAATGACAATGAAGGTTGAAGATAAGAGAATTGCCAATATGGAAAGGGATTTTACGCAGCTAAGGGCGGATACCAATATTTACTTTTGAGTAATTGTCTTATTTATTGAATGGCTATTTAATAAATTAAATGTGATGCTCTAGAAAAAAAGTGGCTGGATATTACTTTGTGTGGCGCTGTGGTGTGTGACAAGTTCGCATCAGCACAGCTGGACTTCCAAGTAATTGAAAAAAAAAGAAAACAAAAAAAATACGTTATACAATTGAAAAGCTTTTACGGAAAGAACCCTTTAGACCAGGCGGCATTCGTACTCAAGACCAACATTTAACCTGTGTAATACCAATACTATAAGTTAAATGAATATTATATGACGTCAGAGACATCCTCCATCTTTAGTCTCCCCGTGACCACGGCTGCTGCAAAGCATCCGAAACTTCGGGCCGAAGTTAAAAATCATTTTCAAATAAGTTTAACTAATATATCGCGTTTTAAACCGTTAAAGTGTTTTATTCAAATGAATATTATAAGTCCAATGAGTTTCTTTGTTTGTACGCGTTAATCTCAAACTTTTGGTTAGGGTTGAGAATTTATTTAAGTTGGATAGATTACTTATCGAGGAACGTAACATTACGCCACGCGAAAAATAGGAAAAAGCATCATCTTTGGGTGCTTCTGCTGCATGCACTGCGAAAACGGTTCCAGAAACCAATGTTTATCTTTTAAGATTAACCCACAAGAACCGTTTTTATGGTAATCAAATTTGGTCAAAATGCCAAGTGATCAAAATTGAATTTATTATTAACAATTATTTGTTAGAATTGTATCAACATTTTGGTTTGCCGGATCTCCTAGTTAATTCATTAATCGTTATACGGCAGTTATAAGTTCAAAGCGTTAGAATCACGAACAAAGCGTATCTAGGAGGCAATTTGAAGTCAAATTGGTAAGTTGCAATTCGTAGAAGGCTATCGACATATTGGCCTCGCGAACTTTCTCAGTATGGAGTAGAGTTCTATGTAGGGCTAAGTCATTACCACGAGATAAACTATGTACAGTTGACAAACTAGAATGAAATAAAAATGAAAAGTCTTTACACGGACTTAAAACATTTAACATAGACTTACAATAAAAAAATCTTACTATTCTATTATCCATAAAAAATTGGTTTGAAAACTACATTTAAAAAAAAAAAAAAAAAAAAAAAAAAAAAAAAAAATAAGGGGGGGGGGGGGGGGGGGGGGGGGGGGGGGGCCCGGGGGGGGGGGGCGGGGGGGCCCCCCCGGGGGGCGGGGGGGGGGGGGGGGGGGCCCGCCCGGGGGGAAAAATTTTTTCAATTTATTTTCGATTTTAAAAAAATTGGTTACTAACTATTTCGAAATCTATTACAAACAAGTATTTTTTGTTTGTTTTTTTCATCCTCTTTTAGTTTCGCAAATATTTATTTACGATGAACTAAGATGGGGTATATTATTTTTCTTTTCTTTTGTTTTTAAACGTTAAAAGGAGCAAGTCATCAAAAGTAGTCTGTTATCTATTTTATATACTGTCTATAGTTTACGCGAGTAGTACACATTAAAAACTTTAACGGTTTAAAACGCAATATATTAGTTAAACTTATTTGGAAATGATGCTTTGCAGAAGCCGTGGTCACGGGGAGTCAGTCTCCCCGTGATCACGGCTGCAGCAAAGCATCCGAAACGTCGGGCCGAAGTTAAAAATCATTTCCAAATAAGTTTACTTATATATATATCGCGTTTGAAAACCGTTAAAGTGTTTTATTTAAATGTTATCTATTTTGTTGTACTATAGCTTCCTGTGCATTTTTTCTAGATGGTATTTGTCTTGATCCCCAAAGGTATAGCCATTTGGGATTTTTTGTTATTTTTTTATTAATATACTTATTTTCTAAAAGAAACACGTTAACGATTTAAAACGCAAAATATATTAGTTAAAGTGTTTTATTTCAAAGTAATATACGCGTTAACTACAGACAGTATTTACTTATTTTCTATTAAAATAAGTTAAAATTAAATTATATATATTTTCTTTTAAACCGTTAATGTCGTTTTATTTAAACGCTTCTACTCATTTTAGTATAATTATGTGGTGCTACCGGCCGCCGCTCCGGGGTGTAATTTCCGGGCCTAGCCGGCCTCCGACAATGGACAATTTATCGTGATAAAATCGCGCAGGTTATTACTAAAACTAACGTAATGTTTTTTCATTATACCGAAAGGTTTTTCCATCGTTACGTAAAGGTAATTCAGAATTGCCTTTCATGTGAGCATAATGTTCAATGGAGGATTTCATAATTACTCTTTTTGCACCATTGTGTAAATATTAAAGGATTTTTAAATGTCCCTTACAAAAGCCATAAAACGAAAATTATTTGAACCGTTAAAGTGTTTAATATAAATGTGTACTACTCGCGTAAACTATAGACAGTATTTAGTTTTTCAAGTTCTATAATCAATTAATATATGTATAGTTAAATCCCGTCTCTACTTTATGCACTAAAAGGACACATTGCTCAGTCCATTATATTAAACCAAAACTTATTATTATGTTTCTCCAGCACTTGAATAAAGGACCTCCCGTGTTCTAAGAATTTTTGACGAAGCATCTAATAAATAGAATAGTGGTGGATTAGTAATTTTTCATTTTTTTTGTAGTAATTTTTTGGAATAAAACATACGGCAAGTGACATGCATTTTTACAATATCATCAATCTACGCGACTGAAAGACACCGTGCGTTTATTAATTAAAACATCGCGGGCGGATAAAAACCAGTCGGCAAACTTAATTAACATGGGAATCGGCTTATAAAATATTCAACAGGTTGACAAAACGCTCAGTTGAATGAAAAATTAATTGAACCGCTCGTATCTGCTAAGCCGATCTGTGATTATTCATACGTTAGCCTTCGGTTTTGTTCTACAGGGTTCATTCAGCTTAGTACGATTAATAAAAAAAGAAAGTTTCATGTTTAACATAATTATTTCGTACTTTTTTTTGATAAAACACTTTAACGGTTTAAAACGCGATATATTAGTTAAACTTATTTGAAAGTCTCTTAGTTGAAGTCTCCCCGTGACCACGGCTGCTGCAAAGCATCCGAAACGTCGGGCCGAAGTTAAAAATCATTTTTCAAATAAGTTTAACTAATATATCGCGTTTTAAACCGTTAAAGTGTTTTATTTAAATGTGTACTACTCGCGTAAACTATAGACAGTATTTTATTTCGTACTTTATATATGGACCATTTATCGAAGAAGGCTTAAGGCTTACCAAAGATACAGAAAATGTCTGCGATATTATGTCTGTTTAGATTAACTAGCATGTTCTTTTAAAAACTAAAAATAATATCAAAAACTGACGCGAACAACATCGTGGATAACAGCTATAATTCATAAAGCTGAAGATAATGTTGTTCAAAAATAAATAAATTGCCCAAAATAACTATTCCATGTAGACAAAGTCGCGAGTATATCTAGAGCTTAATATGGGTGAATTGGTCTTCAAATCCCGTCAGCCAGTACGGAATTAGCATGGTGGGTTAATGCTCCTTCTTATGATATCGTTTCAATCTGTCCCGTTACTAGGCACACCAGCATTAGGATAGGTTGAAAGAAAACCATTTTTCCAATACGTCAGCCAACTGCGATAAAACCTGGTGCTGTAACAGAGCGCTGTGCAATAATTTTACCGCATTTCATTTTCCGGGCTATGACAGTTTACGCAGAAAAATTACACGTTTTAAACTCACGCGATTTTTTTGTCGATTAGCAGAATCGCTCTCCGTAATTAATAACGTAATATAGTTTTTAATATAGTGCTAATAAATATTATTAAGAAAAGATATTTTTTGTTGACTGTACGGGTCA